GGGTCTGCGGAGTGCAGGGCAAGGAGCACAATGGACACCTTCCGTGTCCTTGCGGATCGCATGCCGATCAGGTAGCGCCTCGACACACTGTCTAGGGTTTAAGGTTTAGGGTGTGGGGTGGCGCTTCCGGGCGCGCAGCACTTTAAGCTCTGCCCACACAAACGGTTATTACAGAGGTTTGTTGGGCCTAAGTATCTACTGCACGTGTACACGGCTTGTCGGGGCTAGTTGTCCACCTGCAAGCCGCCGAAGCCTGCAAATGAGCAGGTTCTGGCACACAAATACTTTGGTCGCAACTCCTCGCCCCCTCTCACCAAAAAATGGTAGATCGCTGGGGCCCTGCAACGCCTAGCCTTAAACCCCTAAGTTAAGTCTCTAAACCCTAACCGGCCCTAACCACCAAACACCGTAAAACTCCGCAAAATTGGTGGCCCCTAAACCCAAAAGCCCCCTCAACCATAAATGGAAAGCATTGTATGAGAAGGGTTCGGATGGAGAGGGCCAGGATGTAGGAAATCAAGGTGGAGGGCTCTGACCCTAACCCCCTAAACCCTAAACCCTAAACCCTAAACCCTAAACCCTAAACCCTAAACCCTAAACCCGAAACCCTAAACCCTAAACCCGAAACCCGAAACCCGAAACCCTAAACCCTGCCTAAACCCACCCTTTTCCTCCGACCCGAGGCCCCCCGCGGATTCTCCCACCAGGCTACAGCGAAGTCGGTGGCCCAGTCAGACTCCGGACCCTGGTTTGGGGCGCCGGCTTGGCCAAATGTGGCACCCTCGTTTAGGGTTTAGGGTTTAGGGTTTAGGGTTTAGGGTTTAGGGTTTAGGGTTTAGGGTTTAGGGTTTAGGGTTCAGGGTTTAGGGTTTAGGGTTCAGGGTTTAAGGTTTATGGCAACCCCATGTGTGTGCTGTTGTTTCGGGTTTCTTTGCTCCCTCATTAAACGGCCAGTACCATTGCAGCGAGACAAGTGTGGACATCTATGCGTAGCTCGGTAGGCTGTTCATGCTATGTAAGAAACAGTCAGCTGGTGCCCCGAGAATTCGCATTTCAGAGCTTCTACACTTCTAGTGCCCTGTGTAGGACATTCAAAGTTTAAGTTCTATGACTTCTTGAGATGCAGCCCCATCCGTTATTGCTCACTATACAGGCAATAGCGGAACTCAAAACTTCTTGGCTGATTGCAGATTGCTACTGAAGACGGCCCAGGGTTTAGGGTTTAGGGCTTGGGCTACATCCTTGCCCTACCTTCCGCGAAACGCTGCTGAGCCCCGACCCCTCAACTTCTTCGACATCTCCGAATCCTCACGAAGGTAGACCATGTTGCTTACACAAAGAGAGGGCTTAGGGTTTAGGGTTTTGGACTTCGGGAAAAGGGTTTTGGACCTAGGGCTCAAGGCTTAGTTGTTGTGCACCTACACTGTGCTCCACAGCACGCCTGCGGTGGGACCTCAGCTGGAGCCAGCAGATGAAGAGGTTGTTCACGTGGCGGTTTCCCCAAATTAGAGGCGCAGATGGGTTATAGGACGGTGGGCTACAAAGGTTCCCACCTGTTTAAGAAACACGCGTAAGTAGCAAAAGCATGCAGCTTTGGATGACGGCAGTAGCCGGGGTATTCTGGCGCCAATAGATGGTAGGTGAGGGATGTAGTAGAAAGTGGCAGAATAGCGGAGTCGTAGTCGCAGTACCGTCGTAGTCGTGGAAATCATAATAATACTAATAATAATCGAATAAGAATAAGAATAAGAATAAGAATAATCATCATAATCATAATCATAATCATAATCATAATCATAATCATAATCATAAGAGGCTGCACTTGGAGGTTCATGGTACGTATTAACCAATATAACTGTACTTTTACCTGTACTTATTTATAACCATATTGGGGCACGTAAGGGGCTCATAAGTGGTTATAAGTGCAGTTATAATAATTGGTTAAAGAGTACCATGAACCTCCAAGCAAGGATATTCTCTTACTAGCAAAGGCTTGAATTGCCACACCCTAAAACCCTTACCCCCACCCGAGGCCGAGATCCTGGACCTCTGGCCAAGTCGGGGGCTTAGGGTTTAGGGTTTAGGGTTTAGGGTTTAGGGTTTAGGGTTTAGGGTTTAGGGTTTAGGGTTTAGGGTTTAGGACTTAGAAACATACTCCTAACTTAAAACCGAAAACAACTCCTCAACTCCCAAAAAACCGAAACCGCCATACACACGACCAAAACACTCGGTACACGTATCAGCCCTCAACTAAGCCACTCAGACCACTATGAATCATAAATCTAACTTAAGAAACCCTTATCAAGCTCAACAGAACCTCGATTCCTGATGCCGCGACCCTAAACCCTAAACCCGAAACCCTAAACCCTAAACCCTACGTTCCCTAGACCCGAAACCCTAAAGCCTAAACCCTGAACCCTGAACCCCGCGACCCTTGGACCCGGACGTGAATGTAGCGCCCCCAAGGGCAATAGATCTCCTTTCGGCGCTGGGATTGTGCAAAATCCCAGGTTAAGGGTTAAAGGTTAAGGGTTCAGGGTTAGGGGTTTAGGGGCTTAGGGGTTTAGGGGTTTCGGGGTGTAGGGGTTTAGGGGTTTAGGGGTTTAGGGGTTTAGGGGTTTAGGGGTTTAGGGGTTTAGGGGTTTAGGGGTTTGGGGTTTGGGGTTTAGGGGTTTAGGGGTTTAGGGGTTTAGGGGCTTAGGGGTTTAGGGGTTTGGGGGTTTGGGGGTTCAGGGGTTTAGGGGTTTAGGGGCTTAGGGGTTTAGTCGTTTAGGGGTTTAGGGGTTTAGGGGTTCGGGGGTTTGGGGGTTTAGGGGTTTGGGGGTTTATGCAAGATGTCATCGGACGTCCCATGCGAGAAGAACGCAAGAGATCCTTTTGGGGGTTTAGGGGTTTAGGGTTTATGGCTTAGGCGCCGCCTCCAGTTTTTCTGAGCTTTAGGGATCTCCAAATGCTATTCACCGCCCGGATTACAAGTTCATCGAACAGGTGTGGAAGCAAAACTTCTTCCAAGTATCCCTACATGACAGCAAAACAAACCAAACCGAAGCCCTAAACCCTAAGCCCTAGACTCAAAACCGTAAACCCGAAACCCTATACCCTAAACCCTAAACACTCGCAACACTCCTAGACTTGGAGCACGGTCCTGGAGGCCGGTTTCAGGATTCACGTGCGTCTTCGGCTGCCCCGTCGCCTGCGGTTCAGGGTTTCTAGTGTTTAGGGTTTAGGGCTTAGGGGTGTTCAGGGTCGCGAAGTTAGGGCTCAGAGTTTAGGGTTTCAGGGTTTAGAGCCTAGGGTTTGGAGCCTGGGGTTTAGAGGTTAGGGCTAAGGGCACTGTAGCATTATCAAACTCCCACACCCGAACCCAAAACTCCTTAAACCCCAACCTCCTAAATCCTAAAACGGAAAACAAGACCCCTCAATCCGAAAACCTAAACCCTAAATCCCTAAATCCCTAAATCCCTAAACCCCTAGACCCCTAAACCCCTAAACCTAAACCCCTAGACCCCTAGACCCCTGAACCTTAAGACCCAAAAACTCTAAGGCCCCCGATCCGCATGATGAGCCCCAACACCGATCCCCAACACGCCATGCCCACCGAAAACCCTAAACCCAGAGACTCAGGGTTTAGGGTTTAGGGTTTAGGGTTTAGGGTTTAGAGTTTAGGGTTCTCCAATACCCCTGAATTGGGATATTCCTTAATTCAGGAATACTCCTTACAGTATAAGAGGGTTCCTGAGATGGTTTAAGGAATATTCCTTAACTAATGAAATTTCCTTAAAGTCCAAGAGGGTTCCTTATATGGTGTAAGGAATATTCCTTAATTAAGGAATCTTCGTTAAAGTATAAGAGGGTTCCTTATATGGTTTACGGAATATTCCTTCAAAAAGAGTGGTATTGGCGCCTCTGAGAAGCCTCCACCCTCAAGCTCAAACTTTCTACATTACAAAGACGCATATGCATAGAGAACATGCTAAACCCTACTCTAGAACACCAAACCTCAAACCCTTAAACCCACGAGGCCTCGTCGAACCAGAAGGAGATGTCGCTTCCGGCCGCAGCGATGATGGGCTGCGCGAGGGCGCCGTCGTACTCCGTGAGGAGAGGCGTGAGGTCCTGGGTTGATACGGGCGAGGAATTCAGAGTTTAGGGCTTAGGGTTTAGGGTTCGCGTTTAGGGTTTAGGATATCAGGGTGAATAGGGTTCAGGTGGGTAGCACGGGATTGTTTGGGGCTTTCACTCAGGTACTTAGGGTTTAGGAGGGCTTTTTTCGGGGTTGGGGTCGGGCCTAGAGCCCTAAGCCCGAAGCCCCAAGCCCTAAGCCCCAAGCCCCAAGCCCTAAGCCCTAAGCGCGGGTCCCTACCCCTGACCAACGGGCACACTGCCGGCAGGGAGCTTGGAGCTGCCTCTTCTTAACCAGGGGCCTTCTTTAACTCTTCCTTTGAGTGGGGATTTAGGGTTTAGGGTTTAGGGTTTACGGTTTAGGATTTTGGGTTTAAGGCTTAGATTGGCTGGATTTGGGATTGGGCTTCATTGGGTTTAGGGTTGCCTACAGCATAGTAGCAACCCTAAAACCTAAACTTGAAACCCTTAAAGCAGCAGACAAAACTTCCCTTCACGTTAGCTCCATTCTTGTTTTGTCTGGGGTTTGAGGATTGCGGTCAAGTTTTAGTAAAGGCTTAGCGCGTTCGTGATACTGAAGAGACGGCTTGAAAAACCTTGAGGATCTAGAGAGGCCCACCCTCGCACCTCAACGCATACGTAGGCTCAAAATGCCGAGAAACTTGTCATGGTACATCTGGGGGTTTCCGAAATTGGGGGGGGGGGGTACCTTTTTGGGGTCCTTATTATAAGGGGATGCTACTAAGGGGATCGGCATTGGGGGTCCCCTATTTTCGTAAAACGCCACATCTATAACGCCCAAGCAGAAGTCCTTGTCGCCTTTGGCTCGAGGTTTGGACGGTTAGGACTTTTTCGGGCAACCTGCAGGGAAAGGCCGCTTACGGCTTCACGGTGTCGGCATCAGGAAAGAACGAGCGCAGCCTCTGCGGATCCACTCCCATCAGTGCTACTTGTACCACGCCCTGATTATGAGGGGGGATTGTATAGGGTATCCTGCAGCGTTCCAGCAAGTTGAGCACCGAAGCCCGCACGTCCGTCGTGTCCCATGCCCGCCGTGATTTTCCCCAGCCAGTTATGATCTCAAAGGATGTTGCATCGTGGCCTCTGCTTAGCTTCTGTGGGACGATTTCGGCTAGCCACCAAAGCACGGCCAGCATCGCTGAACCACAGGAGTGCGAATGAAGATCAATCTGGGCTCCGCTCTTGAGCAACATGTCTGGCCAAGCTCCGTTCGCCAACGCTTGCCGGAACAGATCAAAACCAATGACTTCTGTGTAAACGGAATGAAAAAGTTGGGTGTAAGAGGCCGTGTCAGGATTCAGGCTTCGTGCCTTCATCGAAGAAAAAAGCGATAAGCCAAACTGCCATTGACGGGCCGAGCCAACTGCGCAGATGGCAGCATTGAAGCTGAGTTTGACAGGCATCACTCTAGTCATGGGCATCTGCGAGAGCAGATGCAAGGCCATCTGCCACTCACCACCTTTCTCACAGGCACTAATGCCAGCGTTGAAGCTGATCTCGCTTGGCACAACTCTGGCAATCGGCATCTGCTGAAGCAAATGCAAGGCCTTCTGCCACTCATTACCTTTCTCACAGGCGCTGATCGCAGAATTGAAGCTGTGTGCATTTGGCAGGTTTCTCGCCATGTGCATGTGCGAAAGCAAGTGCAGGGCCATCTGCCACTCACCACCTTTCTCACAGGCGCTGATGGCAGAACTGAAGCTGTGCACATTTGGCATGACTCTCGACGTGTGCATGTGCGAAAGCAAGTGCAGGGCCATCTGCCACGCACCACCTTTCTCACAGGCGCTGATGGCAGAACTGAAGCTGTGCACATTTGGCATGACTCTCGACGTGTGCATGTGCGAAAGCAAGTGCAGGGCCATCTGCCACGCACCACCTTTCTCACAGGCGCTGATGGCAGAACTGAAGCTGTGCACATTTGGCATGACTCTCGACGTGTGCATGTGCGAAAGCAAGTGCAGGGCCATCTGCCACTCACCACCTTTCTCACAGGCGCTGATGGCAGAACTGAAGCTGTACACATTTGGCATGACTTTGTCCATGGGCATTTGCAAAAAGCAAATGCAGGGCCACCGGCCATTCACTGCCTTTTTCGCAAGCGCTGATGCTGGCACTGAAGCTGAAAACGCTTGGATCCACCCGCATGGAAATCATCTGCGACAGAAGTTGAAGCGCAAGCTGCCATTTCAAGCCCTTCTCGCACGCCGTGATTGCAGCGCTGAAACTGTAAACGTCGGGCATCAACTCGGCAATATTGATCTCCGCAAGAAGTTGGATTGCAACCTGCCACTGCTTGGCGCTTGCGCACTCCACGATGACTTTGGAGACCACCTTCTGATCCCTTTCTGTTGGCAGCATTTCCTGAAGCAGATGGACTGCAAGCCGCCAGTCTTGATTTCGACAAGCTCCCTGAATCAAGGATGAAGGTGCACCGCGACTCATCACTGCAACCTGGTTTGCCATTGCATTTGGTGGCCCCATTGCTTGACTGCGGCATCGAAACGCGGGATCTCATGCACACATGGTCCAGGAAATCTCTTGCATGGTGTTGAGAACATATTTAGGCTTTTCGAGATCCGTCAAACACTTGATAGGGTATAATAGGGCTTCCTAAACCCTAAACCCTAATTCCTTCCCTACAAAGCCCCACCCCTAATTTCTGCTAAGAAGGAAGTTCAGGCCAAGTAGGAGTTTGGGGCGTGGCGCTTCGGGTTTGGGGTTCAGGGTGTTGGGTTTCATGTTGGTTATCAGGCTAAAAAGCTCAATTGGGGTTTAGCGGTTAGGTTTAGGTTCTACCCTAAACCCTAAACCCTAGAATCCTACATGGCTTAGGCCGCACCCACCCTTTTCTAAGGGTGCCTGGACCCGGCGATTTACACCCTCCATGCAACTCAGATGGAGGGTGGTTGAATCCCCATCCGGGCTGTGCTGTGCCTGGGTCTGACAAGATGGAAAACTCCTGCAATCCCTCTGAAGGGTCCGTTGGAGGCCTTGACGGCCCCTGAAAAGGAGGCCAAAAGGAGGCCTCCTGGAGGAGGCTCTGTTGGCACCCAGGGTTTCGGATTTAGGGTTTAGGGTTTAGGGTGGCCCAGCACCAATGAAGATTGTCGGACTGCATTGGAAACATGTAATATGTGCCTTCGCGAGACATGCCTTCTTCATACGACTGGGTGTGTCGGGGCCGCCATGTCCACACGGCATCTACTGCCGTTGCGCGGCGAGACGCCCGCGAGATATGATACCCCTCACACCCCCTGGGTGTGTTGGGGCGCCATCTCTGCATGGATCTACTGCCGCAGCACGGAGAAAAGCCATAAGCCCCAAGCCCAGAACGGCCGGAGAATTAAGGTTTTTTTGTTTTGTTTTTTGATTTGTTTTTGTTTTTTAGGGTTTAGGGGGGTTTTAGGGTTTTAGGGTTTTAGGGTTTTAGGGTTTTAGGGTTTTAGGGTTTTAGGGTTTTAGGGTTTTAGGGTTTTAGGGTTTTAGGGTTTTAGGGTTTTAGGGTGTTAGGGTTTTAGGGTTTTAGGGTTTTAGGGTTTAGGGTTTTAGGGTAGGGTTTAGGGTTTTAGGGTTTTAGGGTTTTAGGGTTTTAGGGTTTTAGGGTTTTAGGGTTTTAGGGTTTTTAGGGTTTTAGGGTTTTAGGGTTTTAGGGTTTTAGGGTTTTAGGGTTTTAGGGTTTTAGGGGGTTTTTAGGGTTTTTAGGGTTTTAGGGTTTTAGGGTTTTAGGGTTTTAGGGTTTTAGGGTTTTAGGGTTTTAGGGTTTTAGGGTTTTAGGGTTTTAGGGTTTTAGGGTTTTAGGGTTTTAGGGTTTTAGGGTTTAGGGTTTAGGGTTTAGGGTCATTAATAATTAATTATTAATTGAATCAATTATCCAGTAGTAGTAGTAGTAGTAGTAGTAGTAGTAGTAGTAGTAGTAGTAGTAGTAGTAGTAGTACCAGTAGCAAGGACAAAAAACCAAAAACAAAAACAAAAAAGCCTAAAAAAAATAGACCTCCGCCCAAAACCCTAAACCCCAACTCCAACCCTAAGCCCTGCACCCTACACCCTAAAACCTAAACCCCAAACCCTAAACCCTAAACCCTTCCTGGGGCCCAGGCATAGACCTTCCCAAAGAAGGACACCCAGCAGTCGTGCGAGGTGTTATGTCGGCCCTCGGGCGGAAACCAGCACTAAACAGAGAGGTTCGGGAAGGGGGGGGGGGGGGGCTCTACGGTGTGGGGTTTAGGAGTTAGCCGTCAACCCTAAACCCTAAACCCTGAACCCGGGTTGAGGATTGAGGGTCTAGACAAAGAGGAGAAGGAGAAAGAAAGAGAGAGTGAGAGAGGGAGCCTCACCGAACCCTGCCGTATCAGCGAAAGGCAAATGGATGAATGGCTTCGCCCCTAAGACGTTTAAGATGCGCTGTCTTTTCTGTTTGGGGTTTTAGGCTTTAGGGGTTAGGGCATAGGGTTGGGGAGGGGGGAAGGAGGAGGGGGCAAGGAGGAGGGGGAAGGAGGAGGGGGCAAGGAGCAGGGGGGAAGGAGGAGGGGGTTCTCTAATTTGCGTCCCTGTGAAGTTCCGGGTTGCAATACGGGGCCTTATGATAGCTCGGGCACCCGAATCCCAAACCCTAAACCAGAAACCCTAACAGTGACCAAAACCTAAAAGACCTGCAAAGAACAAAGTCTTATTTGAGCAAAATCCTAGGGGAACTAAAGGTTGACCTTTGGGGTGGTATAGGGATTATCATACCTTAAAAGGCTAAAGGCTACCTACACTACCCTAAACCCTAGACCCTTAATATCGTACCATGCTATGCCCGAGGCCTCCACTAACCCCAGGGGCCAGGTCGGGCTTTGGATGTGGGGTTTCTGGTTTAGGGTTGAGGGTTCAGGGCTTGGGGTTTATGTTTAGGTTGTAGGGTTTAGCGCCTCAAGATACCCTGAAGCCCTCAACCCCATGGCTTGGAAACTCGCGCTTCGAGAGGACAGCACGTACATAATTAGCTAGGTGGTACATGGACAAAAGTTCTGGGTTCAGGGGTCCAAGATCCTGAACCCGATAAACCCTGAGCCCTTTTTTCGGCCCCTCTCTTGCCCCTGGCCGCGCTTCTTTTCTGAATGTGCTTTGCAGGTCCTTCCTGTGCAGGCGCAGCTCCACCCGCCCCTGGTTGCTCTGGATCACCTTGGGAGCAGGACCAGAGATTTAGGGTTTAGGGTTTAGAGGGTTTAGGGTTTAGGGTGTAGGGTTTAGGGCTCACTAAATGACTCGAAACCAAGAGGGTGTCCTTTAAAGGGGCTTATCAGGGAATCTAAGGCCGAAAAAGGAATAAAGGGCCTGCTCCGGGTCCTAGAGTATCTTCTTTTTTTGTGGGGAGTCCCCTGTTTGGGGAAACCTCATAACTCATAAGGTTTCATGTAGGACCGCCGTACTCCTAACTAGTCATGTGCTTACTTGGGGTACCTGATCGATACCCATCACAACCGAAAACCCTGAATCCTAAACCCTAAAACTTAAACCCTAAACCCTAAACCCGAAATCCTACATAAACCCTACACCCTAACCCTAAACCCTAGAAAAAACCCTGAACCTTAACCTGCAATGTTGGCAGCCTAAGCCCTGATCTTGGAGGGTTGCAAGGGATCTAAGAGCCTGAAACTCCCGAAAAATCCAACCCCGGACCTTCACATGTGATGTAGGGTTTAGGGTTCAGGGTTTAGGGTTCAGGGTTTAGGGTTTAGGGTTTAGGGTTGAGGGTTGAGGGTTGAGGGTTCAGGGTTCAGGGTTGAGGGTTCAGGTAGTCAGAGTCCCTTAGTCAGGATAGGGCCATTGTGACTACTACTATTACAAAAGGGGAGCCCAACCCAGCATAGGCAGACTCTTTCAGAGCAAGGACCCCTGCAAATCCCGCAGTGAACCTGGGAAACTGGCTGAACTGGGTCCGTAACTTCATCATCCTGAACCCTAAACCCTAAACCCTAAACCCGAAACCCTAAACCTTGAACCCTGAATCTTGAACCCCATTCTCTCTCAAAAGCACCACATGCAAAGAGCCGAACTCCCCAAACGCCTGAACCCTCCAAGCTTCTGAAGGCGGCTGAAGAGCCCTAAACCCTCTACTCTCTCCAGGTTTAGGATGTAGGGTTTAGAGTTTTGGGGTTTAGAGTTTAGGGTTTGGGGTTTAGGGTTTAGGGTTGGGGTTTAAGGTTTAAGGCACCCCGACACTCTCCGCCCTGAACCCCAAACCCGAAGCCCTAAACCCTTTCACAGCTCAGGCGCCTTCGCCGGCAGGCCAAACCTGGCTCGCTGGGCATGTTGGGACGGTTTAGGGCTTAGGGCTTAGGGCTGGGTTAGGCTTATCTGCTCTCGGGGGGGGTGGGGGGCCGGGGTGAGCGGGGAGAACCCTAAACCCTAAACCCACAACCCCAAACCCTATACCCAAAGACCCGCATCCCCGGTTTGTCAGGAATTGGGCGTCCCGGAGTATTAGCAAGTGTGGGGCCACCAGCGGGTTTAGGGTTTAGGGTTTAGGGTCTAGGGTTTAGGGTTTAGGGTTTAGGGTCTCGGGTTTAGGGTTTAGGGTCTCGGGTTGCGTCTGCACCCCGGACTGTGCTTCGAGAGGAGTGCTGCATGGCACAGGTAGCAGACGCAGAAGAAGCACAAGAGAAGGCTCCGCCTGAGCTGGCAGTAGAACTCGTCCCTGTCCCGATAGCAGCAGTCCCACAAAAGAGTATGCCCGCGGTCAACATGGGTGGGTACACGTACACGAAAGCCGGCCGAAGCACGTTGAAGGCAATGCCCCGAGTGCGGCTCTGGTCAACGCCACTCTCCAAGAGCTTCAACAGAATGTGCACGATGTGCACGTGGTACTGTGCAGAGGCCGCCTTGATACCTTGGCCAATATTCGCTGCGTCCGCCTCCAGCAGAAGACGTACCACTTATGCGTGGCCGTTCCTGATGCAGTGGTGAGGGCAGGGTCACTGCCTGGGTTGGTAGCATTGGGATCTTGGGGACGCTGCAAGATGTCCTTACGTGCTGAAAACTGCCAGAAAATGGGAAGGCGGGTAGTAGAACCTAAGCTCTTGCCCGTGCAACAAGCAAGGAAACCCAAACGAAGGCTCTTAAAGTGCAACTATTGGCGAAGTAAGTCTCCGCAACCTTCCCTCGCCGATGGCCGCAGCTGTCGCGAGCTGGTCGGCTTGCTAGGATGTGTCTGCAAAACTCAGCACGACCAGCTGCGCATCCATGGGCTTGTCAAGGACGGCGTTGTCCTGCAGGAGGGGGTTGTCAAGCAGCAGCATTTGCCGGAATCGCGGCCCGTGAAGTGGCAAGCGCGTGGCGCCTGGCCCTCGATGGTGCCCAGCATCTGGAGCTATGTAAAATAAGATAAGGGTGCTGCGGCTGCAAGTGGGAGTTGCAGTCGAAGGTCGGCAGAAGCAAGAAACAGATCTGAGAGCATTCCCAAAGAAGTGAGGCTATGGTACCCCAAACTGGCGCACCACCCTCACTAAACCCTCCATCTCAGCTTAACCCCCCCCCCCCCCCCCGCCCCGGCCCGTAAAAAATGGAAATGAAGCAGGAGACTGGGATGTCAGACCAGAAATCAGAAACCTAGAGGTAGAAAAGGTGCCCCTTTTGTGCAAAGGGGTGGACAAGGAATTCCGATCCTTACAAGTCCAAGATGGACATGCTTGCACTACTAAGATGGGTATCCTTATAACAGACGTCTCAACCCCATAAGCCCATGAGCCTTACATAGGAGTTAACCCCTAAACCCTGAAGGTCGACCTCAGAAATGGAGGACCCAGGTAGGCTCTGCACCCTAAGCAAGAAGGCACCTATAAGAGGAACATGGGGTAAAGGCTTTGCAAGGGGGATATGTGGCGAAGCTCCCCATCTGAAACGGGCCCATAAGCACCCTAAACCCTGAACCCGAAGCCCTACGGTTCTGGGTTGCCCCCAAAGCCCCCCACCAAAGAGCCTGAAACAATTCTCTGCTTGACGTGCTTTTGAGGCCAAGCACGATTAGGGTTTAGGATTTTTTAGGTTTAGGGCTTTAGAGTTTGGCTTGAGGGTGTAGAGTTCAGGATGTGGTTTTAGCATTACCTACACCTTAGCAGCAACTACTACGTAGTGGGGGGGGGAGCTTCGAGGCTGAAGGGGGCTTGGGGAGCGCAAGGTTATCAGGGTTTAGGGTTTAGGGTTTACCCCTAAACCCCAAACCCCAAACCCCAAACCCTAAACCCTAAACCCTACACTCTTACAGCCCCTGCGATCCTGCGCAGCAACATCAGGACGTCGGCTTGGATGTTTGCTTGCTGCCAGGGGCGTCGAGATCGACCTGGGCATGGGATGCTGAGGTTTAGGGATTATGGTTTAGGGTTTGGGGTTTAGGGGGGTGGGGGTTAGGGTTTAGGGTTGGGGGTTAGGGTTGAGGGTTTAGGGTTTGGGGTTTAGGGTTTAGGGTTTAGGGTTTAGGGTTTAGGGTTTAGGGTTTAGGGTTTAGGGTTTAGGGCTTAGGGCAGGGCTTAGGGCTTAGGGTTTGGGACTTAGGGTTTAGGTGGCCAGGCGAAGGCTGAACATTCGCGAATTTCCGAGTATGGAGTTGTGCATAGGGTTTATGCCGGCTTACGTTTCTTACATGTGAACGCCGGTCAAAGACATCAATGAGTAGCCCCTCACACTTTCCTGCCCAGCATGGCAAAAACACGACAATGCTCCGCCGGAAGCTAACACTCGGGCTCAACACGTGCAGAGTTTTCACGGCCTGGAATTTGGGGCTGAGGTGGAGCTCCAGTAGGCAAGAATAAGTAGAACTTTAGGGCTCACATCCTGACCCATTTTAAACTCACGCCAGAAAGCGAAAGAGCCCCCAGCGCAAACCGCAGGAAGCGCTGCGCCTATGAGCCAAAACACAAAATCATGCGACTCCTAGTGATGCCTCAAAACCCCAAACCCTAACGCTCCTTCCTGGGGATGCTTGTGGTCGCATCCTAACTACACACTACTTCCGTCAAGCCCACTCTCAGTGCTAGCACCCCAAGCCGCCCTGAATCAAGAAGCACACACACACACACACCCACGCACGCACGCACGCACGCACGCATGCGCGCATGCACGCACGCACGCATGCACGGATGCACGCATACACGCATGCACGCATGCACGCATGCACGCATGCACGCATGCACGCATGCACGGGCACACACACACAGTAGGCCCAAGAGCAACCGAGGAGAAAAAGAAAGGTGCCCTGTTTAGTTTTAAAGGGGCTTATGAGGGAACCTAAACCTTAAAAAAGGGGAATAAGGGCCTACTCTGGGTCCTAACACACACATACATCCAAACCCTAAGTGTATCCCTTATTTGTGTGCCCTGCCAGAAGCCCTAAGTGAGTCCAGGACAAATATACCCTCATCCCTAATCCCTATAACCCTAACCCACAGGGCCGGGGCACCCCATCCCGTGATGATCGTGCACGCTTGTCGGTGCGAGCCGCCCAGCTGCGGCGGAAGGATGTCTCGAAGCCTTGAGCTGTTCAGCGATATGGGGGCTTACGATCTTAGGGGGTACCTTATAGGGGGTCCTCATGATAAGGGGAATCCTACTATTTCGGGGCTGTGGAAAAAAGGGTCCCTTATGATCGTAAACCCCATATGGGGGGCTGCAGGTAGTACACTTCCTGGAGCACCACGACTGTCATTGATGATGTCGTCTAGTCGGAGTAGTAGCAGCGGCAGCAGCAGTAGGAGGATTGGGGTTTAGGGTTGAGGGTTGAGGCTAAGACCATAAGCCCGAACTTATGACAACCTAACCTAACAGGAGTTATGGACCTGGAGAGCGGCAGGGAGGCTTAGGGAGCCTTCGCGCGTACTAGAGCGCATTAAGATCATAAGGTTTAGGGGGTTGAGGGTTTAGCGTCCCCCTGTCCCTCCCTCTCTCCCTCCTCTCCCCAACCTGAAATGAGCTGGACCCCGCACTCCAAAATATCACTTAAAGTGTGTTTCTTTAAGGTAGGCGCGCAATTCGAAGCTTGCAGCCCACACCCAAAAAGCAACTTACGCCGACCCTCAGCCTTGACCCTAAACCCGCTGCACCCAAAATCCCCTGCTGGCAGACTGCGATCCGCATACTCGCATATTCTCCTGTATCGGAGCGCCGCTAACCGAAGTGGTCAGGCTGCAGTACAGGCAGGAGCAGCAGGTGATGACACACAGGAAAAACCAATACAAGGACCACAGGATGTACTTTGTGTCCGTGCACGCAAGCCTATAAGACGATAGGATCAAGGCTCGGCCAATCCGACGTTCTTCAACCCTATAAACCCCTATGAAACCTCTACAAAAACCCGGTAAACACCCTAAAAGCCCTACAATACCCTGTAAGCCCTCTAAACCCTGCTTACCGCGAGCGACCAGGGAAATTCAGGCAGCAAGACCAAGCTCGAGGAGAGTCTGCAGTAAGACGTTGGTGCCGAGCTCGATGGGTCCCCAGTCTGATCTTTCCTCAGGCGCGTGGCTGACACCTCCGATGCTCGGAACGAAGATCATGCCCGTCTTCGTGATGGTAGACAGGAATTGCGTATCATGGCCTGCACCGCTGGGCATTAGCAGTGCATCGGTACCCTCAGACAGCACCTTTTGGGATGCTCGAGCGATCGTTGCGACGATGGAGTCGCTGCACGGAGCTGGTGCAAGACAGCTCTTTTCGTTGATTTGAAGCTGAAGGCGACACGTAGCAGCGACTTCATGGAGCTTTGCACGACATGCCTCGCCAAGTGAGAGCATGACCTCTTCATCGCAATCTCGACAGTTGAGGCTGAAGTCAGCCCGACCTGGAACAGAGTGAGAGAAGTTTGGATGGAGAGCGACATGACCGACAGTGATTCTCGAAGAAGCAGCGCCCGTTTGCTTCAAGATACCAGGTATTGCAGCCCCAAACATGGACAGCCCAAGAAAAGCATCTTTTCGCATCTCCATGGGTGTTGTGCCAGAGTGATTGGCCTCGCCGAGGAGCGTGACATCCCAATTGAGAGTACCAGCAATCCCGGTGACCACTCCGACTGGCAGGCCACGAGATTCCAGAACTGGTCCTTGCTCGATGTGCAGCTCGAGAAAAGCTTCGAACTCAGCAGCCGACCGCTGAGCCTGCCGGTATTCCTCGGGGTCGAAGCCCGCGTTGCGCATCGCTTCCGTCAGGAGCTGGCCATCATCGCTGGTTGCAGAATGGAACCACTCGTGATCCACTTGGCCAGTCATCGCTTGCGATCCGAGCATTCCTCCGAATCTCCCCTCCTCCTCACTGAACGCAATTACTTCTATGGGAAACTGGAAGTCACGAAGTGCTCCCGCTGCACAGGCATCTATCAGGGTCGTGGCGCATTCAAGTGCGGCCACAACGCCGAGTGCACCATCGAACGCACCTCCATACGGAACACTATCGACGTGACTGCCACAAGCAAGCGCCGGCTTCCGGGCGGCATTCTCCAGTCCAGTAGGCGTCCAACGACCAATGACATTTCCGACGGCATCGATATATGCCTCCGTGCCCAGTCATATAGGGGACCCTTAAGAATTATGCGTAGTAGGATTCCCTAATAAGAAGGACCCAAAAAAGGTACCCCGATTTTGGGAAACCCCCCACATGCCTCCATGCCCAGCAATGACATCTCCTCTCGGAGCCACCTCCTCGCCTGCAGATCGGCTTCCGAAAAGCTTGGTCTGTTCACGCCTCCATCGGGCGTCCCTCCGAAGGTCGCCAGTGTCTCAAAGCGAGCTCTCATCCGTTCGACATTGATGCGAAGCCCGGACATGGCGAGGAGGGGGGCGCTGCGTGAGATATGACAGGGAGCAAAGCCACTGGCTTCGAGGTCCTAACTTCTGAACCCGAAACCCGAACCCCTCAACCCTTATAAGAACTCTTTGAGGAAGGTCCATGATGATTTCTTTGGGGGTCGAGGGGGCCAAGAACCGGTTCTTGCAGCCTGTTTGTGCTGTGCGTCCTTGCTGATTCTGGGGCACATCTCCTTCAATCAGTCTCCACTTCCTCAGCCCTAAACCCCAAGCCTAAACCCTGAACCCTAAACCCCAAAACCTAAAAGCCTTTAAGCTGTGTAAACCCACGCCCTAACCCTAAACCTGAAAAGCGCATGAAACCCTAAACGCCCTGTAAACCCGCAACACCCTCAAAGCCCCAAACCCGAAACCCTAAACCCCAAACCCTAAACCCTAAACCCTAAACCCTAAACCCTAAACCCTAAAAAGCCCTCAAAGCCCTGCCGCCCGGTAGCCACCAGAGGACGGCTGCAGAGGCCGCGCCGGCAGACATCTCGTGGAGGTCCAGCGTAGTGCAGGGAGTCCTGATTCTTGGGGTTTACAGGGTTTATATCGGATCTATTGAGTTGCATAGGGCTGAGATGAGTTCATGTAGGGTTTATGTGGGGTTTATGTGGGGTTTGTGTAAGGTTGATGTAGGGTTTGTGTAGGGTTTATCTAGGGTGGGTTAATCTTATAGGGTTTCTGGGGTGTCTAGGGCGTATAAGGTTTATGGGGTTTATGGGGTTTGTGGGGTTTATGGGGTTTTTTGGGGTTTGTAGGGTTTGTGGGGTTTATGGGGTTTATAGGGTTTGTAGGGTTTATGGGGCTTACAGGGTTTACAAGATTTATAGGGTTTATAGGGTTTATAGGGAGTCACTTCTAGGATCCGGACCAGTGCTCGGCACAGGCCCTCCTAGGATGTGCATCATCCCCCACAACGACCCGCAACGCCAAGGGCGAAGGCGTCAGCCAACCCCCAACCCCAACACCAAATCTTGGACACGGTGACTTCGGCTGCCTCCCAGAGCAAGGAGGGTGGAGCGCAAGCGGGGGTGGGGCTCCACAAGTCCACGCGCCTGGGTGCTTTTAGCACCAGCGCGCCCCCTCCATCACCCTAAACCCTAAACCCTAAACCCTAAACCCTAAACCCTAAACCCTGAACCGCTGCCAAGGCGGAGGCTTGCAAGTAGAGGCTCCCTCGCTGCAGCGGATCGAAGATGCCCTCCCGGACCGCCTCTTGCAGAAGGGACTCACCCGCCTGCGGTTCAGGGTTTAGGGTTTAGGGTTTTGGGTTTAGGGTTTAGGCTTTAGGCTTTAGGGATTAGGGTCAAGGGTTTAAGGGGCTTCAGGGGCTTTTTGGGCGCGGGGTTCTTGGGGCAATAGGTTTTTTTGCTGAGGGGTCTAGGGCTTACGTGCTTTACGCAGAAGGTACTCACTCGCCTGCCGCTGGCCTTTTGTTAAGGTTGTGAAGGGGCCTTAGGTTTTTTTGGGGGGTTATGGGGCGTTTTGAGGGGATCTTAAGGGGCTTTAGGATTTTTTTGGGGGGAGAGGGGGGGGAAGGTATTGGATCGGTTGGAGGTTTCTTTGTTGAGGGTCTAGGGCTTGAGGGGCAAAAGAGGATTTAGGGTTAGGGGCTGTTAGGGGCAATAGGACGTTTTGGGGGTTTAGGGCTTTAGGGGTTTCAGGGGCTAGGGTTTAGGGTTTACGAGCTTGAGGGGTTTTCAGGTTTTGGGTTTAGGTGATTTTTCGTGGCTGAACCTTAAAACAGGCAGCTTAAGATCGAAGATTTAGGGCTTCGGGGTTTTGGGTTCAGCTTTAGGGACCCTGAACTCTGAACTCCCCACCCCCCGCGCCCTCACCGCACAACAAAAAGCCACCACTAGTGGGTCGTTGCTTAGAATCCCAGACGGAGCAAACCCTAAGCGCAACTGGCCGGAAATTTTGGGGGGCCCCCACAAATCAATTCCCTCCCGTTTCCATAGAAAGTGGAGGTTAAGTCCACCAAAATGGAGGTTGAGTCCACCCACCCCCAAAGTACGCGGTACACGGTGTGCAGACGCCCGTGGTGTTTTGAAGGCACTTTGTTAAACAGCGAATTTGCAGTTTAGATTAGAATTTACAGTCGTTGTTCTAAGGATACTAAGAAAATCGGGCAAAAATCGTGAGAACACTGCTTGATTCTGCACAAGATATGTACTTGTACGGCTGATCTTTCGTTTGAGTTTGGTGCCAAGGGCAACATGCTCTGGCTTCAGCATGGTTAAGGCTTGAGGATTTTCGCGTCAGGATTTGGGTTGCAGGGTTTCGGGTTTAGGGCTTTTGCTGTTGGGCGGGCATGCATGCTCCGTCCATTCGCAGGCACGGGTAACACGTAATCATGCGCCGAACCCCGAAATATACAGATTCCCCCCCCACCCTCCCCCGGGCGTCTAAGCGCCGTGTTCCAACTACACATAGCAATGGCCTCTACGTACGCTTTGTTTTGGGTTACACGGCCACTTTGTTGAGGTTGAGGGTGTTGGGATGGGATTCTGTTCCTCCTCTTGCCCTCCCGGAGCCTGCATCCAAACCCTTCGATACTTGGAGGTTCCTAGACCTAAGTAGGCCTAGAAGTACCCCAAAAGAAGGTTCAAAGCATCGATACCCCGACCTATAACCCTACTTATTCGTAAACCCCAAACCCTCAAGCCCAAACCCTCTTGTAGGGAACGAGGGAATGAGGTCCCTCTGCAATCCCTTAACGGCTTTTCTCGGGCCCTCATTCCCTCATCCCTTCCTAAGAAACAGGGGGCTTTAAGTACCCTAAACCCTGCACCCTAAACCCTACACCCTGAACCCTGAACCCTAAACCCTCCTCTTCAACCCCCGAGGTTCAAGGAGCCGACCTCCCGTTGCTGCAGACAGTCCAGGACGGCGTTGTAGGCAATCACATTGGGCCGGATCCGGGCCTCCCTCATTCCTGCAGATGTAGGTGTTGCATTGGAGTTTGGGGTTTAGGACTTAGGGTGTAGGGTTTAGGGTTCAGGGTTCAGGGTTCAGGGTTCAGGGTTCAGGGTTCAAGGTTCAGGGTTCAGGGTTCAGGGTTCAGGGTTCAGGGTTCAGGGTTCAGGGTTCAGGGTTCAGGGTTCAGGGTGGGGAGGGGGGTTCACGTGCAAATCAAGGTTCCCTAAGGCTCCCTAAGCTTTTTTGAGGTTCCCTGGGCCCTAGGTGTCTACCCCCCATGAACCCCCCTCCCTTTGGACCCTACAACTGCAGATGACTCGTAAGGTAGCTACAGAAACCCACCCTCCCGATAAGAAGCCCAAAGGGTCCATACGTTAGCAAAACGAAAGCAAGGTCAGGGACCCGAAGCTCTAAACCCTAAACCCTAAGCCTTGTTCTGGGAGGTAGCCTCAGTGTTTTAGTTACGCGCTTCAAAAGTCTCACCCAACATTGCAAAGGTCAAAAGCCAGGGGCTTGCTGTGCGGCATTTGGTACAAAGCTTAGGGTTAAGGTTAGGGTTTAGGATTTCGGGTGTAGGGTGTAGGGTGTCGGGTGTAGGAGGGTTCAGGGTTTCGGAGCTACAGCATCGGGACGTGCGGGTCTTCGCATGAGTCAAGGGACCCTGGACCTCCAATGCTGAAGCCTGCTCCCGGAACCCTCACCCCTAAACCCGAAACCCTAAGCCCTGAACCCTTAACCCTCAACCCTAGGCCCGGAACCCAAAACTTAAACCCCAACACTGGGCCATGAAATCCGAAACTGGAGCCCTTCGGCTTCTCCCTACTCTTGTCTCTACTTTGGAGTAGACCCTGGAAAACATATACTTTTTATGTATAAGCAGCTATAATAGGAACCCAGAACCAAAAAAGCTATTGAAGTATCGTACTCCAGCACCCAGTTCTCCTTGGAAGAGGTGCAGGGCCAGGACCCAGCGCCCGCCCCTCGCGCAGGCGGCGAGCCTCTGCTTGAGGTTCAGGGTTTCGGGTTTAAGGTTTCAGGTTTAGGGTTTAGGGTTTAGGGTTTAGGGTTAGGATCAACCATAATCTGGGCTACTTTGTTGGGGCAAGGTAGCTCAGGGAACCCAACCGCCCTTGGACCATAAAGGGGCAGTTGGGGTAGGAGTTGCATATGACCCAAGAGTTGGGGGTCAAGGGACTTTAAAGGGTTCAGGGTAGGTTTGGAGTCTAGGGTGTGGGGTTTTGGTTTCGGGTTTCGGGTTCGGAGTTTAGGGCTTCCGGGCACTGAGGATGGAAGCTCTGAAGAAGGAATGTTGGGGGCTCCAAGCCACGGTTTTTGCATGCCTCACAGAATCTAGCATGCCCCAACCATCCAACCCTAAACCCTGAACCCTGAACCCTGAACCCTAAACGCTAAACCCCCTAAACCCTCAACCCTAAACCCTAAACCTTAAACCCTAGACCCTAAACCCTAAACCCTAAACCCTGACCCTAGACGAAGATGCCCAGGAGCGCCGAGCTGTAGCTCACCACGTCGGGGGTTAGCGCGGCCTGGGGCATCTCGAAGAAGAGCCTTGGAGCGCCCCACTCCTGCAAACCCTAAGCCCTAAACCCTAAACCCTAAACCCTAAACACAGAGCTTGAATGAAACCTGAACCCTCACCCCTAAACCCTGAAACCCTAAGCCCTAAGCCTTAAAGACTCCAAGACTTGTCACGTATACTCTAGAGTGCGTGGTTTTGGGCTTCGGGTTCAGGGTTCAGGGTTCAGGGTTTAGGGTTTAGGGTTTAGGGTTTAGGGTCTACGGTTAAGGGATAAGGGATATGGGTTTAGGTGTTAGATTCCTCGGAAGGAAGGGTCTCCCGAAGAGAGGTTTTCCCCAAGAAGAGTCGGGATGTGATGGCTTGAGGGGGTCTTTCGACCTCGTGGCTCCTTCAAACCCTGAACCCTACAGGGTTTTAGGGTTTAGGGTTTGGGGTCTAAAGCCCAAACCTATCAGCCTGGAGATCCTTCAACCCCTGTATATTTCGTTCTACCTCCCTTTCAACCCCCCCCCCCCCCCCAAAAAAAGAGAGAGAGAGAGTGAGACAGGCATCCGAAACCTATAGAAATCGCATACCCTGTGACAGCCTAAACCCGTGACCCTAAGGCCCAAGATCTTTATCCCGAAAAGCTAAAACCCCAAAACCCCTACACCCCCAAACTCTAAAACCTAAATCTCAGACCCTAAGCCCAAACCCCTAAACCCCAAATCCGAAATCCCAAACTCTCAACCCCGACCCCGAACCCTACACCTCCAAACCCTCAAACACAAATCCCGATCCCTAGAACAAAACCCTAACCCCCACACCCCAAACCCCCCAACCCTAAACCCCTAAAATGTTAAAACCCTGAACCTAAAACCCGTCTTTACAAATCCTCCACCATCAACCCTAAACCCTAACTCCTAAACCCTAAACCCGAAACCCTAAGGCCCTAAGGCCCTAAGGCCCTGAGGCCCTAAGGCCCTAAGGCCCCTAAGGTCCTAAGGCCCGGCCCAATCCCTCAGTGCCCAGGCACCCCAAGGCACGCTGCCACTGCGCACCCGACTGGCAGGCAAAAAGGGCGCAGCTGTGGCCTGTAGAATAACTGTTAGAGCTTGCAGTTTAGGGTTTAGGGTGTAGGGTTTAGGGTTTAGGGTTTGGGGTTTGGGGTTTGGGGTTTGGGGTTTGGGGTTTGGGGTTTGGGATTGGGGTTTGGGGTTTGGGGTTTGGGGTTTGGGGTTTGGGGTGTGGGGTTTGGGGTTTGGGGTTTGGGGTTTGGGGTTTGGGGTTTGGGGTTTGGGGTTTGGGGTTGGGTTGAGGGGTTGAGGGGTTTAGGCCGCAGCGGAGGCTTTAGTGAGATGTTGGGTTAGGAGGGTCGAAGGCATTGCCCTTGGGAACCCTAAACCCTACACTAAACTTGAAACCCTAAACTAAACCCTAAACCCTAAACCCTAAACCCTCAACCCTCAACCCTCAACCCTCAACCCTCAACCCTGCAATCGCACACTGAGCGGCTGATTGCGTTGGGAGTGAGCTTGGCGCGTGGAAGCGTGGCGTAAAGCTCCTCTTCTGGGCTCAGATTCTGGGGTTTAGGGTTAAGGGTTTAGGGTTCAGGGTTTAGGGTTCAGGGTTTAGGGTTTAGGGTTTAGGGTTTAGCATTTAGGGTTTAGGGCTTGGGTTGAAACCTTGAACCCCTTCCGCAGTCTTCTGTTGGGGGGTGTGAGACTTAGGGGAGGGATTCAAATTTCAAGTAAAGTTAGGGTTTAGGGTTTAGGGTTGAGGGAATGAACCCTAAAGGGGTTTAGGGCCCATACTACCTCACTGGGAATTAGAATAGCAGACTTAGAGGTTCAAGGATGATTATTGTTCGGGTTGTGAGAATGGTCATCACCTTGTTTAGGGTACTTGTAGGCCTACACCCTAAACCCTGAACCCTAAACCCGAATGAAAGTACCCTACCTAAACCCTAGGAGGGTTCGGGTTTAGGCTTCAGGGTTTGGGGTTTAGGATTTAGGGTCTGGGGTGGGGTGGAGGACCTTGGGGTCCAAGTCTTGAGCACTGAAGGCACATGGAACCCCTAAACTCTAAGCATCAAACCCTAAACCCCAAATCCTAAACCCTAAACCCTAAATCCCAAACCCCAAACCCTAAACCCTAAACCCTAATCCAGCCACGCAGCCAAAGCCATCTGCCACTGCCCGCCCTTCTCGCATGCACCCATGGCTGCAGTGTAGCTGATCGCATTTGGAGCGATCTTCGCCTCTGCGAAGGTAGCTGGACTCCCAACCTGCCCCTGAACCCTAAACCCTATATAACCCATAAACCCCAAACCCTAAGCCCTAAGCCCCAAGCCCGGATCTTTCTGTCCTAAGACTTACAAGCCCTGAACCCGAGCCCCACAAACGCCCCAACGGAAAACGCTACGTCACAAACCCGAAATCTCTAACAAGACCGTCACTTGGTGAATCGTGAAAATCCACGCCCACTCCCTAAAACCCCAAACCCCAAACCCTAAACCCCAAACCCAAAACCCTAAACCCTAAGCCCTAAACCCTTCCAGGCATCGAGGTTTAAAGAACTTTTTCGGAGGTGGTAAGGCGGATCCAAACATGCGCATCGCGTTCCGTAGAACCCTAGTCCCCATACACCCCAAACCCCCAAACCCCCCAACCCTAAACCCCTAACCCCCTCAACCCCTAAACCCCTCAACCCCCTAAACCACGAAAGCCCCGACGCCTAAACATCAAACCCTAACACCCCCACACCCCTAGGCCCTGAACCAACCCCCCCTCCCCCTCTGCACCCCTCAACCCTGAACCCTAAACCCCAAACCCTAAACCCTAAACCCTAAACCCTAAACCCTAAACCCTAAACCCTAAACCCTAAACCCTAGACCCTAAACCCTAAACCCTAAACCCTAACCCTACACCCTAAACCCTAAACCCTGAAGCCGCAAACCCCCCAAAGCATCGGGTGCCTGCGGCATCTGCTCCAACAGGGCCAGAGCCAGCGGCCACTGCCCACCTTTGAAGCAGCCCATCAGAGCGCCTCAGTCGGCCCAAGGGGCCTTTGGGTTTAGGGTTTAGGGTTTAGGGCTTAGGGTTTAGGGTTTAGTGTTTAGGGTTTAGGGCTTAGGGTTTAGGGCTTAGGGCTTAGGGCCTAGAGTTTAGGGTTTAGGGTTTAACACACTCTAAACCCTCTGCCTCCAAAGCCTCTCGAGCCTCCAAAGCCTCTAAACCACCCCAAACCCTAAACCCTAAACCCTCTAAGCCCTCTAAACCCTCTAAACCCACTAAACCCCCCCAAACCCTAAACCCTAAACCCTAAACCCCCTAAACCCTCTAAAGAACCCCGAGAAATGCCATGAGAGCCAGAGTCGCTGTAGGCAATGACATCTGGGGCCACCTTGCTCCGAAACCTTCGGGGGCCGGGTTCTTTCTTCGGATGTTGGGAACTCGTTGCCCTAAACCCTAAACCCTAAACCCTAAACCCTAAACCCTAAACCCGAAACCTCAAAGCACCCCAAACCCTATATGTTGGCGGCTTCGGGATTATTATTTGAAAGCTGAGGGTCGCACAGCCACGAAGAACCTTCTTCCTGGGTCGTAACCCTGATTATAGGGTTTAGGGTTGAGGGTTGGGTTGAGGGTTGTCGAGCTCTAGGCCACACAAAATAAGCCCTGCAAAGCCCGAACCCGCAACCCTGAACCCTCATGTAGGGGCCGGAAGAATTGCTAGTAGTATTCCCTCAATTAGAATTAGACGATAATGCCTCCAAAAAGACCTTTTTCTAATTACTAAGGCCCCTATCGTAGGCGCTTTGGAGACTTGAAGACTTGCGCACCCAGGGGCATGTCATCAAAGAGATGCAGCGCGAACTGCCACTGCCCGCATTGGTCACAGGACTGGATCGCAGCCGTATACCTGGACAGCTTGTGTTCGTGTTGGGTTCGGGGTCAGCTCCCCAAACCATAAACCGTAAACAGCGCAAGCCTCAGCTAGAAGCCTGAGCCCCCAAACCCTGCATCCTCAACTCTGAAACCTAGCTTCTTCGAACGCTTCCCTGTGGCCAGTGTCAGCCAGAAAATCAGAATCACGCACTTGCACGCGATTTTGGAGGAGGGTGGGCTTGACATCTTAGCCCTAAACCCTAAGCCCTAAACCCAGAAACCTAAACCCCAAACCCTAAACCCTAAACCCAGAAACCTAAACCCTAAACCGCCTAAACCCTAAACCCTAAACCCTAAACCCTAAACCGCCTAAACCCTAAACCCTAAACCCTGAACCCTGAACCCTGAACCCTAAACCCTAAACCCTAAACCCTAAACCCTAAACCCTAAACCCTAAACCCTAAACCTTAAACCCTAAACCCTAAACCCTAAACCCTAAACCTAGCCTGCACGGCCTTAATTACTGATTCAGGTCCCAGCCGCGCCACCACGTCGGGTCGGATCTTCGCCCTGCTTGCAAGCTTGGCACCGGTAACAGTGCCCCTAAACCCTAAACCCTAAACCCTAAACCCTGAACCCTATTGGGGGTTGAGGTTTCGGGATTCAGGTCCGGCTTGAGGGTTTGTGGCATCGAAGGGCCGAAGCTCCCCCTCAGAAGCTCACAAGTTCCGGGTTTAAGGTTTGGGGTTTAGGGTTTGGGGTTTAAGGCTTGGGGTTTGGGGTTCAGGGTTTAGGGTTTAGGGTTCTGGGTTTAGGGTTTAGGGTTCTGGGTTTAGGGTTAAGGGCTTAGGGTCCGCCGACCCTGGCGGCGTGTTGGATGGGAAAGGAGGTGAAAACCTCCCTCTTTCCCTCCTTACCCAACCAAAACGGGGAGGGGGGGGGGGAGGGGGGGGGTAGGGGGGTGTACCCGGGCAGCTTTAGCCAGCCTTCTGAAGCCGATTTTGGGCCTTCTGAAGCCAATTTTGAGCCTTCTGAATGTCATTTTGAAGCCAATTTTTGGCCTTCTGAGGCAATTGGCCGTCTGTAGCCAATTTTGGATCATTTGGGCAATTTTGGCCTTCCGAAGCCAATTTTCACCCTCCGGACACCTGAAGCCAATTTTGGCCTTCGCTCTTGCTCCCCGTCTGTCTCCACACCTGGGATCTTGTCCATGACGTCCTGAGGCTCCGTGTTCTTGATCCGCTCCTTCAGCCCATTGCGACTCTCAACGCTCCAAACGGGTCCAACCTATAGACAACTCCCTAGCCTCCATTTCTTGCAGCTCCCTCCTGACCACAGCCGCCTCCAGATTTTTCAGCTGGGAGATGCAGGATGAGAGGCGGGTTTGGCGAAAAACAACAGTCGGCCTCGCTTAAGCAATCCGCCAAGGACTTCTCCACCACGTCGACCCGTCCCTGCAGGCTGGCACATGTCTCGCTGAATGCAGCACTGCATGTGCTGTCATGCCAGGCTGTCACCTGCATCATGCAAACTTGTTCATCTAGCTTGGCCTCAGACCTACACACTCACATGAAGAACTTTGGCTTTCATTGGCCATTGGGCCACAAGGTCGTCGAGCTGCTGCGCGGTTGGGGTAGAGCTCGGTCTTGCCTGGGACTGGGTCTCTAGTGACTCCAGTGAGCAACATCGAACACACGTCACCCCCGACCCTCTTCGATACACTTCCGCTGCAGCAGCATGGCCACCGGTGACAGGCCTCCTTCTCCAGGGATTGCTCGATCTGCTCCAGTTTGTGTTGGAGATATTGCAGAGCATCTTCTGGCCCCTTCGCCTGACTACGATTCCAGCGGGCACAGTTCGCACTCCTGCTGCACTTGCCGCCAGCCTTCTGGGTCAGCATCGCCTTGAGCCAAATACCATAATACAAAGCAGGCGATCAACTCACATGACCCAAGCCGGTATGGCCTCCAAATTCAGGACACGGGCTTCCACTGCCTTGCAAAATGAGGGCTACGGTCCCACAGGGCTCTTCAGTTTGGGGCGAGTGACAACTGACCCTGAGTGTTTGGTTGTCACTGCTTGCCTCAAGGCGATGAAGCCGTTTGAGCACATCATCGACGTGTCCTTGCACCTTCGAAGCTCGACGTTCTAACACGTCAGCGGGGAAGTATTGAGCGTGCACACCACTCGCAGATTCCTCGTACACCATCTCTGCCACGGTTGGTGCTCCTGGGAGTGCATGGGGCCAAACGCAGAAAAAGAGCTGGAAGAGAAGAGACATGAAGATGTGAACTTGGATGCCTTAAGCTCAAAGCGTATCAACCACTTAGAACTCAGCACAGATATAATTGGTTAATAAGTACCATGAACCTCCGGGTTTGGGCTTTCCCAAAGCGCGCCAGGAGTTCCTTGGCCGCTTCATTGAGCGTCTTTTGTAGTCGTCTTGTGGATTTCTGAAGCTCGGCCAGCTCCGATTGCAGTGCACTCACCTCCCCTTTCACCTGCGTGAGGTACTTCTTCGCTCCTGGGCCAAATTTTTTCAGTGCCCATACCATGTAAGAGTTCGTAAGTTTCGGTGTTTTTCATCAGACAGCGGACATGTAAGTTTGGGTATTTGGGTAAGGAGAATAGGTAAGTTTAGATGTTCTTCACCGCGAGGCCTGGGGTAAAGAGACATAGATAAGTGCAGCCCAAAGGCCGTGCAACGTCCCCAATAGGGGACGGAAAGCCGGCGGCTCCATCAGGCGCGGCTCAATCGGGCAGTCTTAGGGTTTAGGGTTTAGGGTTTAGGGTTTAGGGTTTGGGGTTTGGGGTTTAGGGTTTAGGGTTTAGGGTTTAGGGTTTAGGGTTTAGGGTTTGGGGTTTGGGGTTGGGGTTTAGGGTTTAGGGTCCGCCGACCCTGGCGGCGTGTTGGATGGGAAAAGGGAGCCCCCTACCCCCCCCCCCCCCCCCCTTCCCCCACCCCCCCCTACCCCCCACCCCCTCCCCCCCCCCCCCCCCACCAACTTTGGCATCCTTTGACCTAACGAACGCGTTTAAACCTTTCAACTATGCTCCAGCGGGGTCGGCGGCTTGAGCCGGAGGCTCTTAAATTTAGGGTTTAGGGTTTAGGGTTTAGGGTTTAGAGACCACTTTAGGGCTTAGGGTTTAGGGTTGAGGGTTTAGGGTTTAGGGTTTAGGGTTTGGGGTTTAGGGTTTAGGGTTTAGGGTTTAGGGTTTAGCGAGTTGAACACAAACTGCTGGCTGAGCCATCCGGACGGGCGAAGCAGCAACATCCGGGAGTTTGACTAAGACCGCCTGTCTAAAGAACCCAGGTTCCCGGATAAACCCAAACAGCTGAGCCCCCACGCTCGGTGGGTCAAGGCCCTGGCTTCTCCTCTGCTCCAGGCAGAGAGGCTGGCTTCTGGGCTCGACCCTGTTGCCTAGGGCTTGTAGGGTTTAAGGTTGGGTTTAAGGTTACAGGCTGCTTACGCGCCTCTTGTCGCAAGTCACGGCGTGCACATGCACTACTTTCTACTAGAGGATCCTGAAATAGTTGTAACTTGAAAATGGTACTCGCTCGTTCTCGAAAGTCAACCGGTGGTCGCGTAAGAAGAACAGCGCCGACTCGAAGGAAAGGAAGAGCCCGCTTTAATCATGTCTAACGGCAATTTCTTCTGCGATGTCCTGGTTATCACAGCTCTGCTGTAGGCACGTGGCTGATACAGGACACGAATGAAAACATCCGGTGTGCCCGATGAATCCTCCAGCGCGGCCCTGTCCTCCTGGTTGGTATTCAAGCAACGCCATTCGTGCAAAATACTCCCGCGCTGTTTCAATCAGGCCCCTCGATGCGCACTACGCAAACGTAAGGGCCTGTAAGGGCTTGCTCTCACATCTGGTCACATTTTGGAGGAGCTATGAGGGACTGCAGCCATTGCTGATGATGCTGCGGTGGCCGATGGGGGGAGGGGAGGGGGGAGCGGCAAGAAACATGGACCTACGACAGGCACACGATGGCACCAACTACTACTCCAAGCGCAGGTTGCCTCGCTGAGGGTGGGCGGGAACTCATCCCGCAAAGCCACCCATACGTCAAGGTCCCGCTCCGCGATGTGGTTCCAGAATTCTCAGATGCACCGTCTGTCTGTGTGGTCAAACGGTTCCCTTTGCGAATTGCTCGGCGGTCGGGCCGCAGAACGCGTAAGAGTAGTTGGCGCGCGGGGTCTGCGGCCTCACACACAGCTGGATGGGTACATGCGAACATGCTTACCCTAAAAGAAAGGTCATCCTGTGATTCCTAACGCTTGCTTCCTTGGGCATGTGTTCACAAATTTCACAAATCGGTTAGCCAACAGAGATTGCAACATCTAGCATGAGGTTCCAGCTCGGGCGTTTGCGGACTTGGTGAAGGCAGGGAAGACCTTGTCAACAGCGCGAGCCTTCAATCACTCGGTCCATAGTCCCTGTCCCCGTGCCGACACATTCTATTCTATCATCAACGCCTGCCTGCAAATTGAGTTTCCCCTCCGCACGTAACCCAAATCTTCGGAACAAAGAAGCGCTTCTGCTGAAGTGTACTTCGTCTCCGCACCAAATGTCACGAATGTCCATCAGCATCCTTCGCAACAGTACGTGGGTCCTGAAAATGTTTCCTCGAACCTTGCAAGCCTAAACAGGCCTCACAGGTAGGTCCCTACACACGCCAAGCGCGACCCGGACAACTTGCATCAAATGGCAGCCGCCGTGAATGTAGTTTGGGCTTCTAGAAAATAAACACGTTTCACGCTGAGGTAATGACGGGCAGCGTGCTCTAGCCCTAGACCCTCATCCCCACATCCGTTCTCACCTAAGCCTCACACATGAAGGTCCGGCAGTCAGGCGACAGCCTTAGCACCACACCAAGGAAGCGATGATTATTGCGATTCAGCTACTTTGGACTGCGTCTGGGGATGTGCCCCTTGACTCAGCCAAGCCAAGCTGGCTTTCGGCAGACCTATAAGGCCATGGCGCTGTACTTCCTTGGCTGTGACGTGCTTTCTTGCGGACGTCCTGCTCAAGCTGCCAATGCTGGCACACATATCCGCAGAAATATAGACTGCACTGGCTACGTTACGGCAGCCAAGACCTTTAGTGCTGGTGGGCATTCCCACCTCCTCCAAGGCTTCCAGTCGCCGCTTGTGACTGGTGCATTCCGACACCTTTTGTCGCACAAAGCATTCGGCACGCAGCAAATCGCAACAAGCAGCTCCCCGCCAGCTCCCTCGTCTGCTCCCCCGTGCCCAGCGTCGATTGCGACGACGTGAAATGGCTTATGGCCTATGTGGGGCAAAAGCATTGCGTACAGCGCAAACACAAAAAAGCTGGATGTCATAAGTCAGCAGTTGTCATAAGGCCACGGCAGGGTTCTGTGGACCCATCCGCAGCTGCTGCCTACAGCCCCCGACTGCCGCCTGAAACTGTTTTCTTGTCTTTGGAAATGGCTGAGCGCTGGGCCTCAGCTGATCCCAGCCCAACCTAGCAGAATGCAGTGCACGGGACCGGAATTCTGCCCGCGCGTCCCGTCCAAATTCCAAAACAAGGCACATCACGAGAGCTATATGGAAGCATAGCGCAACGTAGAAGCGTAAGACATTTAAACTCCAATGAGAACTGCAGGAAAAGCATACCTGCAGAAGCACATGCAGGGGAGGAGGACCCGGTGAAACAACTTTAAACAAAACACCCCATGCTAAGGCCGGCCTGGCTGGGATGGACATGCCATTCTGCTCCAGAGCTTGGGCCATGTCCTCCACCTCAACATCGTGGCGAAGATGGCAAACCATGGCAGATCGAAATCGTTGCCTTATTGAGCCCCCGTCGGTCACAGGCGGAATGGGCCAGAGGTACAGCAGCAAAGCCACCAACCTCGAGCGCTGGAGCTTGCGAGAGCTTGCAGCTAAACCAAAGCTCGCAAGCCTTAGAGCCTTAGAGAGATTGAGAATCTGAGAACTCCACTCCGCCGGCCCGTTCAAGCCCATAGTGGACAAGATGCGATGGCCGAGGCGCAGAAGGGCCTTGACTAACTCGATTGCAATATAGTCTACTGGCCAAGAAAGCGAGCTGAAAACTGAGCGAATGTCCTGCAGACCTCCCTCAGAGAATGCGTCCAGAAGGAGTTGCGTGCTGCCCACGAAAAGGCCTTGCTGTAGATCTCCACGTTTTACAGTTTGCAGCTTTTTAACGGACATCAGTCCTATGCTTTGAAATGTCGAGCCCAGAGCAGCTGGCGGAGCTGTTGTGTGGGCCTAGGCTGCGACAACCACATCTACCGAACAGATGAGGCTAGAGTCGGAGGTCTAAGTCTAAGCAACTCTCAGCTCCAAGCGACAGAGGTTGGTGCTGTCACACGAACCACCCGCGCGACCTGATGCTGTAGCTGCACGACGTGGGCTCTAAGACTCGAAGATTGTCCGTTTCGAGAGACCCCACCCCCCCCCCACCCCCCCTACCCCCCCCCCCTCCTGGTTGCTGGGCTTGGCCTGTTCAACAATTGATGGGGCTGCCCTGCCCTTCAAGCTGGCTTCAGCTCCTGTTTGGGTCCTGGTGCTACTCCCCCCGCCCCCAACGTTTCACAGAGGCTCAAGCAAATCAACTTTTGGATCCTTTGAGCTGACGAGCGCGTTTAAACCTTTCAACTATGCTCCAGCGGGGTCGGCGGCTTGAGCCGGAGGCTCTTAAATTTGGGGTTTAGGGTTTAGGGTTTAGGGTCTGGGGGTGTAGGGTTCAGGGTCTAGGGTTTAGGGTTTAGGAGGGTTTGGGGTTAGGGTTTAGGGTTTAGGGTTTAGGGTTTAGGGTTTAGGGTTTAGGGTTTAGGGTTTGGGGTTTGGGGTTTGGGGTTTGGGGTTTGGGGTTTAGGGTTCTGGATTCAGGGGTGGCTCCGGGTTAGGGTTTATAGGACTTAGGGTTACTGAAAGCCACAGCTCGAAGCGCACGATGCCTCGGCATGGCCCGGAACATCCCGAGGGCCAGCTCCCACTGTCCGCCCTTGTCGCATGCACTCAAGGCCGCGTTGTAGCTGACAGAATTCACGGCGATGGCCCTCCGCGGCATGCCGTGAAACCTGAAAGAGGAGACACAGTCAGAGAGAGAGAGAGAGAGAAAGGGAGAGAGAGAGAGAGAGAGAAAGGGAGAGAGAGAGAGAGAGCTTTAGTCAAGCACCACTCCTACTTCTAAGGGCGGCAGAGGTGCAATGAAAAAACACGTGTGTGAGAGAGAAAAACCCTTTCAACACCAAAAAGTACAGATTCGTCAGCGAAACCAAGGAAAGGAGGCTACCTTACCGGCCGTGGTGCAAGGAAAGGGCCTGTTCCCAACTGGCATCCTTCTCGCAGGCGCTGATGATGGAGCCGAAGGTGACGACTGAGGGGGAGACTTCAACCTCTTGCATTTCGGAGAACCTAAGTAGAGTGATATTTCTCCTGATCGAGGGAAGAACGCCTAAACCCCAAACCTTAAACCCTGAACTGCACCCCCGCTCCCTGCAAACGCCCAAACTAAAGTCAACCCCAAACCGTACAGGTCTCTCAACAGCTCAAAAATGGACCCAAAACAAGCCCTAAGCTCTACAACACCAAACCCTAAACCCTCGAACTTAATTCCTACAAGGCCCTACACAAGCCCAAGGCTTTGTCTCAGCGGGAACCCATCAACGGGTTAAACTCTATTTGTCATACCAGAAAGTAAGAAAACAGAACATAAGAAAACACAAACAGTTTTAATTCCTAAACCCTAAACCCCAAACGCTAAACCCTATTGGCTGTAGTCTAAGTCTATACTCCCCTTAGAACCTTAATAGAAATAGTACTCTTAATATCCTCTTGGGTTTATATAAAAAATATAAAATAATTCCCAAGCGGGATATAAAAGTAAGAGGAACAGGTCCAGGGCTTGAGCCGTTTGCTTGCCCCGGCCGCAGGCGCTGATGGTCGAGTTGAAGCTGATGGCCGTGCGGTCCACCTTCCGGGGCTTGCAATAGGGGGGGGGGGGGGGGGTTTGGGGGTGCTTGGGGGGTGTTTAGGGTTGGGGTTTAGGGTTTGGGGTTTGGGGTTTTTCGGGGTTTAGGGTTTAGGGTTTAGGGTTTAGGGTTTAGGGTTTAGGGTTTAGGTTTAGGGTTTAGGGTTTTAGGGTTTAGGGTTTAGGGTTTAGGGTTTAGGGTTTAGGGTTTAGGGTTTAGGGTTTAGGGTTTAGGGTTTAGGGTTTAGGGTTTAGGGTTTAGGGTTTAGGGTTTAGGGGGTGTTTAGGCCATGTTGGCTCCACCCAAAAGCCCATTCACCAGACAGCGAGCCCGGCGCCTGACTCTGCGGCATCGCCCGAAAGAGCCTTGGTAGCCCAGTAACCATATGGGTGTTTACGGAAATAGGGGAATCGTAGGACCCCCCTATGAAAGTACGGACCCCAGTAAGGTACCCCCGAATTTCGGAAACCCCCAATATTCTCATCAGGGGTACCCTTTTTTAGCTTGGCTATTTGATGCGGGAAGCCAGAACCACCAAAAAGGGCAGAAGGGCTAAACCCTAAACCCTAAACCCCTAAACTGGGCTACCACGGAGCTGCACTGCCAGCGCCCAGCGCTGAGCGCGATCGCAGGCGCTGATGGTGGAGTTGTAGCTCACCTCTGCGAGGATCAGCCCTAAACCCTAAACCCTAAACCCCTACACCCTAAACCTAAACCCTACACCCTAAACCCTGAACCCTAGAAGAGGGGCTGGTTGTCGGGTGCAAGGCAGCAAAATCGAAGCCCTGCTTCCCCCCCCTTCCCCAAGACAACCCACGTCGAAGCATTCCTCGTCACAGGGAAAGAGCGAGAACTTATAGAATCCCTAGCAAAGAGCCGACAAAACCAAACACGCGTTCGGCATAGAACCCTTCTAACATGCAAAACCCTGAACCCTAACATCCCAAACCGTTCTTGGTCTGGGTTTCCGACATGTGACAACAAGCCCTAAACCCTTAACCTGATCCCTTTTAAACCCTAAACCCTAACGTCCCTAAAGTGCTAGAAGGCTCTGTAGAAGGCTCTGTGCTCCTTGTGTGGTCTCGTCACTGTGTCGGGGGTGAGTCCGGCCAATGGCAGACCCGCGAAGAGTTCCAGCGCTCTTTCCTCTCCAAGGTTCGGTGGCTTAGGGTTTAGGGTTTAGGGTTCAGGGTTCAGGGTTCAGGGTTCAGGGTTCAGGGTTCACAAAGTTCAGTGGTTTAGGGTTTCAGAGCTTAGGGTTTTGGGGGCCCAATGGTGATTCGGAGTCCATCTGCTTCAGCTCCTACCCAGACGACTCAGCCTCGAACGGTAGCTTCTTACATGGTCCCTTCACGTGGACCCTTAAACGGGACCCCTTATACACCCCCCTTATATACCCTCTTAGAAGCTGAGGGCCACTCCTTTTCAGGAGGTAAGGGGGATCATGAAACCACGAGTACCCTTTGATAGCTCAAACGGTAGGCTACTTGGCTTGTGCTCGATTTTACGTGCTCCTATTGTAACGCGGAGCCCTTGTGTTTGGGATACCAGAAAGGGACCGCAGGTTAGAGGACTGGCCAAGTCCTTTTCGCAGGCTTCGGGCTACATATGTGACTACGATTTGCTTAGGAACCCTCCAAAACATGAAAGTGTCCTTCCTTACAAGGGCAATGCAGGGACTTTCCTTCTTCTTCTTGTTTTTTTTGTTTTTTTTTTTTTTGGGGGGGGGGGGGGTCCTCAAGCAAATAGTTGATCAACTGCAGAATTGCTCCACACTTTCACCCAAGGCTCCCACCATTTAGCGACGGCGCAAGCGCTGATCCCCACCTGAGACACAGCAAAAGCAATAAACACATGGTTTAGAGCGTAGGGGCTCAGAGTTTCGGGATACATGGTGCTGAGGAAGCAGAGTGTGGCCGGATGACAGAGTGACTCGAGCAGTGGGTTTGCAACTTAGGGGTACCTTTACTAAACCCCAAGAGACTGTAATCCATATTGTAGGAATCTTGTTGGGGGGCCGCTGTCTTCGGAAATCCCCTTCTTGAAGGCTTTAGGACCAACTTCGGGCGTTGGGTTGGCGCGAAGGACAACCCCTGCACCCTGAACCCACAAGCTTTAAAGACCTCAAGGCTTAATTAGGGCCTAGGGTGTAGGGTTCAGCGTTTAGGTTTTAGGTTGAGGGTTCGTTCAGCCTGGTGTCCCGGGCCCCTAGGGTTTAGGGTTTAGGGTTTAGGAACCTTTTGATAGGTGCAAGACACATTTACGTGGTGGAGGCTCAGCCGCAAATCTGCCTCATCTCGGAGCAGCCTGGCGCAGAATACGGCACTCAGGTACCCATGAGGAGTGCGGATTGAGGCTTTAGGGTTTGGGGTTTAGGGTTTAGGGCTTAGGGTTCAGGGCTTAGAGGCTCAGGGCTTAGAGGCTCAGGGAACTGAATTCCTGGACTCCTGGGTCTTTACAGGCAAACAAGTCGGTAGTCGGTACTCATGCGGTTTAGGGTTTAGGGTTTCGGGTTTAGGGTTCAGGGATTTAGGGTTTAGGGTTTGGGAGTTGGGTGTTGGGGTTTGGGGCTTAGGGTCTTTTGAAAAAGAGGACCTCCCCCGCATACGGCATACATATCCCTCAAAAGGTATGACCCTTGTTATGAGAACCTCCAAGAAGGGGAACCACTGTATGTTCAGGATAAAGGGTTTAGGGTTAGGGTTTAGGGTTTAGGGCTTAGGGTCTAGGGTTTAGTGTTTAGGGTTTAGGGTTTAGGGTTTAGGGCTTAGGGTTTAGGGTTTAGGGTTTAGGGTTTAGGGGGTTTAGGGGGGTTTAGGGGGGTTTAGGGTGGTTTAGGGTGGTTTTGGGTTTAGGGTTTAGGGTTTAGGGTTTAGGGTTTAGGGTTCAGGGTTCAGGGTTTGGGGTTTAGGTTTTGGGGGGAGGGTCTCAGGACCAACGGTCCGACCCACCTTATTTCCTTATGGTCCCTTTGTCAGTATGCCTAAACAAGCCTTCTAAGTCTCAAGGCATCTATATCAAACCCCTTGTGCGGGGTTGGGTCTTCAAACCCCAAAACCCTAAACCCCTAAACCCTGAACCCCAAACCCCAAACCCTAAACCCTAAACCCCTAAACCCCTAAACCCCTAAACCCCTAAACCCCTAAACCCCTAAACCCCTAAACCCTAAACCCTAGAGGTTGGGTCCGAGGAGCTGCAGCAGGCTCCAGACTAAGTCCGGTCTGCTCTCGCGCCTGAGGTCCTGCCGCGAGCATGGGTGTGCGGGAGACTGGGCCCAGCTCTGAACAGCCGACCGTCCGCGTGGTTTAGGGTTTCGGGTTTAGGGTTTAGGGTTTAGGATTTAGGGTTTAGGATTTAGGGTTTAGGGTCCCTGAACCCTGAGCCTTGCACCTTAACCCCCCCTCCCCCCAGAAGCCTAGAACTCTCCGATGTCAAGTCAACTACGACCAAAACTGCGAGCACAAACGTTGCCCATACCAACCTTGCAGCCGCCCTCCAAAGCCCCAAGCCCTAAGCCCTAAACCTGGGGGTTTTCAACTCTACCCCCTACCCCCTAAACCATAAACCCTAAACCCTAAACCCTAAACCCCAAACCCTAAACCCTAAACCTGAGGGTTTATTTAGAGCTCTGGGTTTCAGACGCGGCTTTTGGGGTGCAGGCCTGCACCGAAGACCTGAAGTCGTAGTAGGGCAATACTTAGGGAAACCTTTCTCTGCCCTTGAGCCCCACATCTATTAGGTACCTCTTGGGCTCAACCACAAACTCCCCAAATCTATGAGAAACCCTAGCGACTTCATAGTCTAGATGCCTTAAACGCATCGTTTCAGGCTTGGGGTCTGGCAATAGGCCATCATGGGGACAGACCTGCAACAGGGCGGATGCCACTGGGCCGGTGTGGAGCGACCTTGCGACGGGGGGGGGGGGGGGGGCGCGGAGGCGCCGAGGCCTTCTGGGGGGGGGTTGCGTAGCTTTAGGGTTCCTCAAATAGTGGCAGGGCTGCACAGCGCATGTGATTTTGGCTTTGGGGGGGGTTTTACGCTGCAGCTAAACCCCCTACACCCTAACCCCAAACCCTAAACCCTCAACCTTCAACCCTAGTCGGATTAAGGATCTTCTGATCGAATGTGCTGGTGCGCTGGCTTTGCTGGGGCTCGGGAGCTTGGGGCAAGCGGTCTGAGTGAGGGTATTTTCTGGCCTCAGGGATGTTTCGGGTTCAACGGTTTAGGGTTTGGGGTTTGGGGTTTAGGGTTTAGGCTTCAAGACTTCCATGGCCCCAAAGCCCTCAACCCAGAGACTCCAGTACCCCTTAACTAAGGAATATTTCTTAGACCATAAGGAACCCTCTTAGACTTTCAGGAATCGTCCTTAAGGGGTACCGGAGCCTCTGGGAACCCTGCAAGCTCCATCGGCCAAGCGGCGGGAGATCTGGCGCCATGGCGCGCCGAAACACCTGGGGGAGGTTTCCGAAGATGGGGGTACCCTCTGTTTTTGTTTTTTTTTTTTTGGGGGGGGGGGGGGTTGCTACCAGAAGGATTGTGCGATTTTGGGGGTACACGAAGGTTACCCCTTTCTTGGGAAATACCCACCGGAGGCTCATCACTTTAGGGAGGAGTCGAGTCAGGATTCTGGGGTCAGGGCCTGGGCGAGGGAAGCTTCGGGGGATTGGGGTCTAGGGTATAGGGTTTAAAGGCCTCGATACGGTAGAAAGGGCCCGGGGGCAGAAGATCAGCCTCGAGTCAGCGAGAGAGAGTACCAATGCCTTAGGGCTCAGGCGGAGAGACCTGGCTAGCGAAAGCTGTGATCCGGGCATGAATCCATTTCCCCAAATACAAGATCCCAGGATACTATAGCCCTTCTAATGGGAACCCCAAAACAGGGTACCGTATTTTCAGAGACCCCCAACATGGGGGTTTCCGACAATAGAGGTACCTTCTTGGGGATTATATGGGAATCCTACTATTTGGGCGGGCTTGTTTTAGGGGCCCCTTACTGTCGTAAACTCCCACTCTGCCTCACCGCTCGGGTTGCGTGGCAGGCATAGGAGCCTGACACGAGGTGAGGGGCTGGCAACCGCGAAATTCGAAAACGTAGTATAGGGGGTTTAGGGATGAGGGCTCAGGGTTCAGGGTTCAGGGTTTAGGGTTTTGGGGGTAGGGGTTTGGGATTTGGGGTATAGGGCCTAGTAAATAAGAATGGATTGCTGGGTAGGTCTCGAATTCTATAGGGACTGTACGCGGAGTACATGGGTTGACTGGATCGCTGAGAAAGAACTTAAGTTAAGATACCAAAACTGGAAGCCATACAATTTACGCTAGAGCCATATTATGAAGGCGCCGATCGCGGGTTTGAGGGGGTCTTTTCTTCCTTCATTAGCTTACAATGTTTGCCACATAGCCGTGAAAAAGAACCCTGCTTCGTATACCATAAACCCTAAACTCTAAAGCAGACGCATTAAGGAGTTGTGGGGGCGTAGGATTTTGGAGCCTTGTACAGCCCTTGTCGCCTGAAAATCCTTGAAGACCACAACTGAGTTGTGCCTCAAGCCCTTTGAAAACCGTCTCTCAACAGGCTCCCTTACAAGGAAAGAAGAGACATGAAAAAAAATCCCAAAGCACACCGCAGATAAGCCCTAAACCCCTGAACCCTAAACCCCTAAACCCCTAAACCCCTAAACCCCTAAACCCCTAAACCCCTACACCCGTACACCCTAGACACTAAACCCTAAACCCTAAACCCAAAACCCTAAACCCTAAACCCTGAACCCTAAACCTGAACCCTGAACCCTAAACCCTTTTGGCACTGAGGCCTGAACCCTTTGGTTTCAGACCTTCGAGCCTGGATTTAGTGCTTCGGATAACAAGACTGAGGCGCTGAAGGCCTCGCCTTTCGGGTCCAGGTTTTTTTTTCGTATTTTTTCTGGTTTTTTTTTCGTATTTTCATGGGTTTAGGGTTTAGGGTTTAGGGTTTAGGCTTTAGGGTTAGGGTTTAGGGTTTAGGGTTTAGGGTTTAGGGTTTAGGGTTTAGGGTTTAGGGTTTAGGGTTTAGGGTTTAGGGTTTAGGGTTTAGGGTTTAGGGTTTAGGGTTTAGGTTTAGGGGTTAGGGTTTAGGGTTTAGGGTTTTGGGTTTAGGGTTTAGGGTTTAGGGTTTAGGGTTTAGGGTTTAGGGTTTAGGGTTTAGGGTTTAGGGTTTAGGGTTTAGGGTTTAGGGTTTAGGGTTTAGGGTTTAGTTTAGGGTTTAGGGTTTAGGGTTTAGGGTTTAGGGTTTAGGGTTTAGGGTTTAGGGTTTAGGGTTTAGGGTTTAGGGTTTAGGGTTTAGGGTTCACCTGAAACAATAAAAAATACGAAACAAAAACCAGAAAAAATACGAAAAAAGAACCATCAGCCTCGCCTTTCTCAGCGCGTCACAGAGCCGTAGGGGTTAGGGTTTAGGGTTTAGGGTTGAGGGTTTAGGTTTAGGGTTTAGGGTTTCGGGTATAGGGTTTAGGGTTTAGGGTTTAGGGTTTAGGCCTGTGCGGTATTCTGAGCCCTAAGGTCAAGATTTTCGGGCGCGAGGCCTCTCCAGCAGCGGCGTACCGTGCAGTCTGGATGCACGACTGGCCCATGCTTTCATCTGGGTGTGGGTGTAGGGTTTACGGTTTAGAGTTTACGGTTTAGGGATTAGGGTTTAGGCTTTAGGGTTGAGAGTGTTTAGAGGTTTAGGGGTTAGGGTGTAGGGTTTACGGTTTAGGGGTTTGGGGGCTTAGGAGTTTAGGTAACCACAAACTCTAGGCCCTAAATACCCCAAAACCTGCATTGCAGGCATCAACACTTAGACTCCTCCTCACACCTGGGGAGCAGCATGCCTGCGATGCCCTAAACCTTAAACCTTAAACCTTAAAGCCTAAAGCCTAAAGCCTAAACCCTAAACCCTAAACCCTAAACCCTAAACCCTTTACCCTAAACCGATACGGGTAGGCAGGCTCCAGGAAAGCGTTGGCCTCCTCCGCTAGATGGCAAATCACCAATTCTCGGAGCCGATATGCAGCTGCACGCAGGAGGACAGCGGCTCGTGCTAGATGGTCTACGTGTGATTGTGTTTAGGGCTGAGGGCTGAGGGCTTAGGGCTTAGGGCTTAGGGCTTAGGGCTTAGGGTTTAGGGTTTAGGGCTCTAGAATTTAGGGCTTAGAAGTTGGGCTTTCCTGGGGGATGGTCAAGCCTGACCGAGACCTGACCACTCAGTGTGTGCAGAAGGTGCTTCGCCATATGGGACACACACATTGGGGTATTCCTCTAGACCCCCCAAATTGTTCAGTAGAATTCCCCTTGAAAAGACCCCCCAGAAAGCTTCCTAACCTTATGCCTAGAGCCTAAACCATATGCTAGCACTAGCACGGGCTGCTCTTCCCGGCCCAAGGGCAAATTGGGTCTCCGTTTTGCTGTACTCTTGTAGTCAATGGGAGCCTCACCAGAGGGTTTGGGGTTTAGGGTTTTGGGGTTTAGGGTTTTGGGGTTTTTGGGTTTTGGGGTTTTGGGGTTGTGGGGTTCTGGGGTTTTGGGGTTTTGGGGTTTTGGGTTTAGGGTCTAGGGTTTAGGGTTTAGGGTTTAGGGTTTAGAGTTCACGAGTTTTGGAGTGTAAGACCTTAGGAGTTTAGGGTTGAGACCCTAAACCACAAACCAGGTGCGGCTTCGGACTTTAAGGGGCGTCTGGGCCCAGGGCGATGTCAGCGGCGGTGTAGTAGCGCTGCAGCGTGTACTCCTGCTGCACAGCGGGGCCAGTGTCAGTACCGCCATGCAACAAGGCACCCCAAAGCCACACGAAGCAAGGCCATTCTGATACCTGTATTTTGAGATGTTCCCCCTCATGCGAACAGTCCTGAATAGCGATCATAAGGGGGGGGGGGGGGGGTACTATAATCCCTATTAAGGACTGCTAGTAAAAGGAAGAACATCCCAACCGGATTTCCTAAATTTGTACTACAAGCGTGCCCCCTGGGGGTTGCACAGGGCAAGTCTTGTTCACGACAGATGCTCAAGAGGCCGACGTCGTGGTGCTTTCCCTCCTCCCTCTCCTCCCTCTCCTCCCTCTCCTCCCTCTCTCCCCAAAGCTGCCAAAGCTGAACCCTAGGCAGGGTTTAGGGTTTAGGGTATGGGTTTAGGGTTTACGGTTTATGGTTTAGGGTTGAGGGTTAGGGTGTTTAGAGGTCTCGGCCTTGAAGCTTCTGTGATTTGGTCTGTCAGCATCTTGCCTTCGATCAAATTAACACACAACCCCTCCCCCCCCCCGACAAACCAGCAAACCCCAGAACTCCTACACCCTAACCTTTGCCCTACTTTGGAGTAGACCCTGGACAAACGTACACACCTTTTAGGTATAAGTAGCTATATATAATGGGAACCCAGAACCAAAAAGTATTAATGTATAGTCTACTGTTATAGTACTCCAGAACCCAGTTTGAGCCCGAAGAGACTAAATCCCGAAGCACTATACCTTAAACCCTAAACCCTAAACCCTAAACCCTACAAGTGAGCTGGGTGTCCTTGGGCACATCACCTTTCTTGATGGTGGGGGCGAAAGTGGGAGGCCGCGGATCAGCAGGACCTGCATCTGGTTCTCTTGGGCTTGAGTTTAGGGTGATTTTGGGGATTTAGGGATTTAGGGATTCGGGCTTAGGGGTTAGGGATTAGGGATTTAGGATTTAGGGTTTAGGGTTTAGGGTTTAGGGTTTAGGGTTTAGGGTTTAGGGTTTAGGGTTTAGGGTTTAGGGTTTAGGGTTTAGGGTTTAGGGTTTAGGGTTAGGGGATTTAGCTTTGGGGTTGAGGGTTGAGGGTTTAGGGTTTGGGGATTGAGGGTTCAAGGTCCGTCTACCCCAAGCTCCAGACCCTTCGACTCAAACGCATCAGGAACTCCCCCTTGCAACCTTAAATTCCTACACTCAACTAGCAAAGAGCCCTAAACCCAAAACCTTGAAACGCTAAACCAAAAAAACCTGAAACCCTGAAGCCATACTGTAAACCGAAAAACCTGAGGCCCTAAACGCTCGACCCTGTGACCCAGGACCCTAAACCCCAAACCCCAAACCCCAAAACCCTAAACCCCTAAACCCCAAACCTCTAAACCAACCCGAGCTCAACCTGCTTGCAGGCATCCCTAAGCCCAAACCTGAACCATAGTTCAGAGTCGAGGGTTTAGGGTTTAGGGTTTAGGGTTTAGGAATAAACCTGAAGCCATGGTGACGTTTACAGTCTGTTCCCTCACGAAACAGGCGCTCGCGGCTTCCCCTGAAACCTATCCGAAGCGCTGAAACCCTTGATAAATTCAACCCTTCCAAAAAACCGCCCTCAAGCCTAAACCCTGAAACCCCGACCCTGAAAACTGAAACCCTGAAACTACAAACCCTAAACCCTAAACCCTGAACCCCAAACCCTAAACCCCAAACCTTAAGTCCTGCGCCCTTGCTTTTTTGCCGACTGGGAAGTGGCGGCAAGACCTCTGCGAGCCAGCGCCTCGCCTGTCTGAGGATTAGCAGGAAACCCAGCACTCTTAGCGCTTAGGGCTTAGGGCTTAGGGTTCAGGGGTTTAGGGATCCAGGGGTTCAGGGGTTCAGGGGTTAGGGTTTAGGGTTTAGGGTTTAGGGTGTAGTGTATGTAGGGTGTAGGGTGTAGGGTGAAGGGTGAAGGGTGCAGAGTTGAGGTTGTAGGGGTGTAGAATTTCATCAACTGCATTCGGCCACGCCCACAGAAGCCCCCTCTTCAACCCCACACCCGCACCTCAGAAACAAAACCCAAAACCCTAACGCTAAACGCTAAAACCTAAACCCTAAACCCTAAACCCAGAAACAAAAAAGCAAACTCGCAAAAGCAGAAGCCCAGCCACCGCCATCGATGCAGCACTGGGAGGCACGTCCCGGAAACCCACGCGAGCGGAATCTGCCTTGCCTTGGGGAGTAAAGCTTATATTCATATTCACACATAGATATATATACATATATATATATACATGTATATATATATATATATATTCACATAAGTTGTTATTCTTTCCTAGACCTATCAGGGATCCAAAAGTCCCACAACTTGCAGGCCTGGCCACACAGCTCCAGCTCCCTCGAAAGCCTGGTACTCCCCAAGGACATCGCCTTGCTGCAAACCTTGAGGGGTGGGAAGGGGGACGGAGGAGGTTCCGAGTCCTAGGGTTTAGGGAGTCGGGTTTAGGGTTTCGGGTTCAGGGCTTGGGGCTTAGGGTCGAAGGGGCAAGGCTTTGCACCCTAAACCTTTTCGTTCATGCTAGAGGTGTTGCATGGAGAGCCGACATCTCACGCGAGGGCTCAGGGCTCCCCTGAAACCTCAGAGGGACTCCCTACATCCCGAACCGGGGCGGCAGGCGCTGGCCATGCCAAGCGCTGCCGGTAGCCTACTGGAAACCCAATCCACGTCGAAAGGACCTTCTTTACAACTCACAAGCTTCTCTGATGGTCTTAAACAGGAAAGTGAACTTTAGGAGTTTTAGACGTCATATTCGTAAGCTCTCGAAACGTGACAGCTTGGCATCTGATGCCCCAAACCTTAAACCACAGAGGCTGAGCCCTTGCGCGTTTCTGGGGTTTGGCGTTCCGGGCTGTCCTGGGCATTTTGTTTGGTGCCTTTACCTTTTAAAAGTGGATACGTAGCCTAGTTATTGAGCGTACTTCTTTCTTGAAAAGCATGTTGCTCTAGGGTCTCTGGGGATTGCGCAGGGCCCAGGGTTTCGGGTCTAGGGCTTAGTAAGGCAGAAGGGTCTTTCAGGGCATTCACCCGTGGACGCGCAGGAACCGACTCCCAAACCGTGAGGAGATTGACCGCGCTGGATGCTGCCTGCTCTTTGGGCATGGAGGTGAACCTTGGTGGATGGTCGGGATGGCGTACCTCATAACCCTTTGGCTTATGCTTCTACAAGTTCTAACCATACGAGGGATTATGCTGTGCCCTATAAGCCTTATTTGTTGGTTCAACCCGAAACCCTAACCCTAAACCCTAAACCCTACACCCTAACCCCTAACCCCTAAACCCTAAACCCTAAACCCTATTGATTCTTAAAGTTACAGACAAATCGAACACCGCTGAGGGCTTTTTTGAGGCTGCAAGGGACAGGTGCAGAGCCAGCTGCCACTTAGCGCCCCTTGTGCAAGAGCTGATGGTGGCGTTGTAGCTTATGATGTTGGGCTGGATTTCCTTGGGCTTTTTGGGGCTTGGAGTTTGGGGTTTGGGGTGTAGGGTTTAGGGTTTAGGGTTTAGGCTGGATTTCCCGGCTTGCCTTTACACCCTAAACCCTAAACCCTTCGCAACAGCTTCGCCAACTTGCCCCTGCAAAGAGAAGAAGGGAGAGCTGACCAGGACAGCCCACGCACGAGCAATCAAAAGGGACTCTACCGTGAAGCCCTACTTGAAGGTTCATGGGTACATACAAGTAGGGCAATAAGTCCCCTAAATAAGGGTGATAGCCATAGTTACCCTGCTTCTATCCCTACTTATAAGCAACCATGAACCTCCAAGTAAGTTGTTACCCTTAGGTTTGGGGACCCTTCTTTAAAGAACCCTAAGGGAATATAAGGGCCATAGTAGGAGTATATCAAGAGGAACCTTTTGGGGTGCAACAGTGCAGCCTTAGGGGTGCGAGTCTGAATCCCTTGAAACAAGTTTCTTCATTGGGCATGGCGTTGAAAAGATGCAGCGCCAGTTGCCACTGCCCTTCTTTCTCACCTTACGTCCGCAATGGACGCCAAAAAGAATTCAGCAGGGCCAATCCGCACAACTAGGTCTCACAGGGGTATCAAAAGGGTAAGCCACCTCAAATTCAAAAGCGTTTTAGCGGTTTAGGGTTTAGGGTTTAGGGTTTAGGGTTTGGGGTTTAGGGTTTAGGGTTTAGGGTTTAGGGTTTAGGGTTTAGGGTTTAGGGTTTAGGGTTTAGGGCTCCATGCGCAGAGTTCCCTTGGCAAGGCGCAGGAGCTGATGGCAGCCGTGAAGCTGATGAGATCTGGCAAAAGCTGGCTGCTTTGCATTCCTGAGCTGCTCATGAAGCCCCGTTAGGGTTTAGGGTTTAGGGTTAAGGGTTTGGGGTTTAGGGTTTGGGGTTTGGGGTTTAGGGAATAGGGTTTGTGGTTTGGGGTTTGGGGTTTGGGGTTTTGGGGTAAAGTTGATGGCTCCCTTTAAAATCCTCAGAAACAGAACCAAGTCAGATCAAAATCTAGCTTCCAGGCCTAGATTCCGTCAAGCAGTCGCACTGCCGGCCACCACTGCCCGCTCTTCTCGCAGGAGCTCATCACAGCATTGTAGCTTATGAGGTTAGGCACGACCTTCATGACAGGCATGGCATCAAAGAGATGCACCGCCAACTGCCACTGCGCAGCCTTCTCGCAGGAGCTGATGGCAGCACTGAAGCTGATGACATCGGCATCCAGTCGGGCTTTCATCATCGCACTGAACAGATGCACCGCCATCTGCCACTGCCCAGCCTTCTCGCAGGCGCTGATTGCGGCACTGTAGCTGATGACATTGGGGTTAAGCTTCGCCCCAGGCATGGAGTTCATAAGGTGCACCGAGATCTCCCACTGTCCATCCTTTTCCTTACGTTTGCTTCGTGGGGACGGACGCGAACAGCTGAAGCAACCGCACGTTTGGAGGAGAGATGCCTAAACCAAAGACCCTAAACCCTCTAAGTCCCCCTCAACCCTCAACACGAAACCCTAAACCCTAAACCCTATGAGTCGTACATGCCTGTTTGGCAAGTCTCGCACGAGCTGATGGCGGCAGCATAACTGACGACCGTGCGGTCCACTTTGGCCCTGGCCATCGCACCAAAGATCTCAAGGGCAAGCTGCCACTGCCTCCCCTTCTCGCCTGGGCTTCGGCTCACAAAGGTTTAGAGTTTAGGGTTCAGGGTTCAGGGTTTGGGGTTTAGGGTTTAGGGTGTAGGGCCCGTCACCTGGGCAACCAAAAGGTCTGGGTTTGTCGGGTTTGCCCCTCCCCCTCCCCCCCCCTCCCCTCCCCCCCCCCCCCCCCCCCCCCCTCCCCCCCCCCTCCCCCCCCCTCCCCCCCCCTCCCCCCTCCCCCCCCCTCCCCCCCCCCCCCGCCCGTCTCTGTAGGGTTTAGGGGTTAGGGTTTAGGGTCTAGGGTCTAGCGTCTAGGGTTTAGGGAAAGATGGGTACTTTGAGGGCTCCTAGTCACAGGAGCTGATGGTGGCAGTGTAGCTGAAGACGTTGGGGACAACTTTGGCCTTGTGCATGGCATTGAAGAGGTGCACCGCTGCCTCCCACTGCCTGCCCTTCCCGAAGGAGCTGATAGCGGCGCTGTAGCTGAAGACGTCGGCCGCAATCCTGGCCTGGTGCATGCCGTGGAAGAGATGCAGGGCCAGCTGCCACTGCCGGCCACTCTCACAGGAGCTGATGGCTGCGGTGTAGCTGACGACCTCCGGTAGAATCTGGGACTTCAGCATGGCACCAAAGAGATGCACCGCCAGCTGCCACTGTGAGGCCTTTCCGCAGGCACTCATGGCGGTGGTGTATTCTGGTGGCCCCAGGCTTATCTTGCCACCTCGCTCCAGCACACCCAAGAGGGCACTCGCCAAGTCTTCCCGACGCAGGGCTTTCAGCTCCTGGGTCTCCCAGGAGATATCCCAGCAAGAAACAGCAGGCCCTTCTTTGGGGTTTACGGGTTTTGCTTAATTAAGCCGCCCCCCCCGCCCCCCACCCCAAAAAAAAAAGTGGGGAGCCGCTGGCCCTATTGGGGGGATCCCAGGCTCCGAAAGTACTCGGCCCACGTGCCTCGGAGCCCGACGCCACTGCCAGAGCAGCTGCGGTGTGATCAGCTCCTCGATGTTTCTGTCGGTGGCCGGCCGTTCCTTGGAGGGTTTAGTTAGGGCGTAGTTAGGGTTTAGGGTTTAGGGTTTAGGGTTTCGGGTTTCGGGTTTCGGGGTTCGGGTTTAGGGTTTAGGGTTTAGGGTTTAGGGTTTTGGGTTTTGGGTTTTGGGTTTTGGGTTTTGGGTTTGGGGGTCTTAGAGTTGGGATTATACACTACTATGCTGACCCCCATATACCGGCACGCTCTACTTCCATCATGCAGTTTCAGGTACGTGGACCCGAACCCCGAAGCCGAAACCCTCTTCTAGGTTCATATTTGGTGGCCGAGGTTCCACCCCCTGCAGACGCTCCAGCGTCTCTCGCAACCCCATGCTCCTGCTACGTGCACCGGCGGGCGCACGGCATGGATAGGCGCGCATGCTGCTACGCCGTGCTCCCAAGAGGGTATGGACAAAGGTCGCCCAGACGTGCCCAAAGGGGCAGGAAGTCTAATTCTACTGGAGAAGCACTCTTCTGCCAGAGCGCCTTGAGCCAAGGCCCTTCAATGGGGATCCTTGTTAAGTAAACCCTAAACCCCAAACCCCAACCCCTAAACCCTAAGCCCTAAACCCTAAACCCTGAGATGCACAGTGCGAGGTTGTGAACTGAGCCCCCCGAACACAACTTACGGATCCTCATAGGGTTTAGGACTTTAGAGCCTTTAGTGCTCTTGGGCTTAATTTCTTTAGGGTTTCCTGGAACAGAGTAACTCTAGTGTTCACTAGGTACTTGGGGGGGAGGTGTAGGGGCGAGGTGGGGGTGTGGGGAAGAAGTTCAAGTTCAGGGCTCAAGCGTAGCTTAGAGTTTAGGGGGTCTTTTGCTTTGTGAATTTCGAGCATGTGGGGAAACCAGACTTGGAGGCTCATGGTACTTAGTAGCCCAATCGTCACTGCACATACAACCCAATTGTAAGCCTATTAGGGTACTTGAGGAGCTTATAGGTGTGCTGTAGGGGCCTTAAGAATTAGACTCTTAAGAATAAGACTGGAGTTTTGGGGGGTAATTATGGTATAACTCTACAGGGACCATGAGGGAATACTATTAGAAGTTTTTTTCCGACCCCTATATTGCGATTATAATTGGGTTCTAAGTACCCTGAGCCTCCAAGCAACCTGCACTCGAACCCTCCGCAAGCCTCCCGTCATTGCCGCGGCACTGGGCGTGAGCCGACCCGACGCGACTGCTACCACGCTGCGGGGTGCGGCGGCAAGCAACTCTTCAGTCGGCTTTGAAAGGTTTAGGGTTTAGGGTTTAGGGTTTAGGGTTTAGGGTTTAGGGTTTAGGGTTTAGGGTTTAGGGTTTAGGGTTTAGGGTTTAGGGTTTAGGGTTTAGGGTTTAGGGTTTAGGGTAACCTTCAACACCCAAACGCCAAACCCTGTTGAGTGGCTTAGGGCTTAAACTCATCTACCCCAAACACGACACCCCTTGTAAATCTATAAACCCTAAACTCTCGGGCCGGGGGTTGACCGGCTCTAGGCAGGAAGCTACCGCCGACCTTCCTTGGCCTTAACCCTACCCCAAACACTTACAACCTAAATCCTCAACCCGAGGTCCTGATAACCTGAACCCCAAAACCCGAAGCCTTAGCCCCGCAACTTTAGACCCTGCACCAACACATGGAGCAGCTTCAAGTTTCTCTAACACCCATCCCTTAGAGGTCTTGGGGTTCAAGATGTTGCGTTGTTAAACTCTTCCAGGGTAGGGTTCAATTGAAACAGCTAGTAGAAACATGCCCCCGGACGCCTCCCCGCCCTTCACCGAATCTGGCCAACACCTCCCTGTGAACACTCCACGTGCAAATGCATACTCCGAAGCCTGAACGACGCCACCGATAGGTCTAAACCCTAAACCCTCAGACCTAAACCCTGAACCCTAAACCTTAATCCCTAAACCCTAAACCCTCAGCCCTAAACCCTCAACCCTAAACCCTCAACTCCCTCAGAGTGCAGGTCCTGCCCGTGCCGAAGGGCCTCCACTCAGGAGAGGGGATCGACACCGTCCCAACCCAGAATAGCCTCTACACCCTTAAAACAAGGGAGGGTTGGATTTAGGGTTTAGGGTTTAAGATTTCGGGTTTAGGACGTAGGGCTCAGGGCTCAGGGCTTAGGGTTTTGAGTTTTGGGTTTTGGGTTTTTGGGCTTCGTACTCTCAAGCCATAGCCATGCGCCCCACAGAGAGAAACAATGCAGTTCTCAAACGCTGTGGCTATTCTTGCGATTCTACACTGTCCTCAGAATCCCAGTCAACATAGCATGTTTAGCATATCTTTGGGCTGATTTAACAACAACACAAGATGAAACGTAGCATCTACCCTAAACCCTAAACCCCAAACCCTAAACCCCCAGCAGAGTCTAGTGTTTAGTGTTTAGTCTAGTGTTTAATTAGGGTTCAGTGTTTGATGTTTAGTGTTTGGGCGTGAACCCTTATAGTTTCCCAAAATCCTCTATGGATAGTGTTGTGAACTATGGCCCATATTTTGAAACCATCTTCTCGGGTGTTGTAGCGCAGTCCCTTATGTGCAAAAGTGGACTCTGGCGTTGAGCCCCGAACCCTAAGGCCTAAACCCCAAGTTCTGCCCCTAAATCCTGAACCTGAACCCTAAGCGCTAAACACCAAACCCTTAAACCTCATAATAGTTCGATCCTGTCGTGCTCCCAACAAGACTCATATATACCTAAACCCTGAGCCCTAAACCCTAAACCCTAAACTCTAAACCCTAAACCCTAAACCCTAAACCCCTTTGGGGCTTAGGTTTGGGTCTTTGACCTGCAAGGCTCGAACGCACAGCCTCGACCTGCAGCAACCCTGTTCCTTGCAGACTGGGTTTAGGGTTTAGGGTTTAGGGGTGGAGGGTTTAGGGTTTAGAGTGTAGGGTTAGGACTCTTTGGGGGGTCAGCCTGGGGTTGGGACGATAAGGCGGGTTTAGCTTTCTGGTGCTTGCGAGCGAACAACCGAAGTCTTTACAAGCCCGCAGCCTTGGTGACAGCACGGTTTAGGGCTTAGGGTTTAGGGTGTAGGGTTTAGGGTTTAGGGTTTAGGGTTTAGGGTTTAGGGTTTAGGGTTTAGGGTTTAGGGTTTAGGGTTTAGGGTTTAGGGTTTAGGGCCAGCCTTGGTGACATCCTGGACGCTCCGCTCGCGGTTGATGAAGCTGTGGACTGTGCTGCTCAGCTCCTGCAGCAGCGCCCGAAACCCAAGGACCGCGTGGGAGGCTCTTAGGGTAGTTTCCCTAAGCCCTAAACCCTAAACCCTAAACCCTAAACCCTAAACCCTTTGTATGGGCCCTTAGAAGGGGACCCCTTCTATACCCCTTATATGCCCCTTCTAAATCAAATATGAAAGGCTCATGCAACTGCCCTTAAAACACCCCCCAAGGCCTGCCTAGGAAGGGCTAAACCCTAAACCCTAAACTCTAAACCCCAAAACCCTAAACCCTAACCCCAAACCCTTGTGACCCTAACCCCTAACCCCTTTCCAGCAGAAGAGCCTTGCCCACTCAACTTTTTCAACCTTGGGGAGCCACCAACAAGAACCCGAAAGTAGCACTGAAGGAGTCTTTGCTGGGGTGCGTGGCCACTTACGCCAACAGTCCTGAATAGGGACTCTAATAGTCCCTTCCCCCTAATGTTAAACGGACCCCCCCCATAGAAACTCTTTATTATTATTAGGGGAGTGAGGAAGGCCGGGCTCACAGACAGGACAGACAGGTACGTGCTGCGAAATGACTGGGAGGGAAGGGAGGGAAAGCTTCAGGATGTTGCTTGGCTTGAGGGTTTTGGGAGCCCTGAACCCCCCCCCCCCCCCTAAATTCCGAATAGGGCTTAAAATTGGCAGGGTCGGTTTCGGCAGGATTTTCTGGAAAGTCTTTTTTTATAATCAGGGGGGCGTTTAATAAAAGGGGTACTAGAAGCCCGATTAAGGACTGTCAATAAAAGGGGGAACATCCCAAGCACTTACCGTTGAGGATTTAGGGCTCAGAGTGCAGGAGTGTGGGGTGTGTGTCTGAGGGGAGCCCCCCCTCGCAAGCTTTTGGAGTGATAAACCCTCGCCCTCCAAACCCTAAACCCTAAACCCTAAACCCTGAACCCTAGACCCTAAACCCTAAACTCAATGCCCTAAGCCATGGTCCTGCACCTGGTTCTTAGCTAGGGAATGGGGGAATCAGGTACGAGGGGTACATTTAGGACCCTCATTCCCTGATTCCCTAGCACCAGGGGCCGCAAGCCTTCAACCGACATGCTTGCAAGACAGGTTTGAAGGCCACCTCAATTCCCCAAACGCTCTAAGCCCCCTTAAAACCCCCCAAACTCCCCTTCACTCCAAAACCCTAAGCCCTAAACCCTAAACCCCAAACCCTCAACCCTAAACCCGAAACCCTAAACCCTAAACCCGAAACCCTAAACCCGAAGCCCTAAACCCGAAACCCGAAACCCGAAACCCAAGCCCGCCTGGTGCGCCAGCAGGGACGTCCTCCGGTCTGGACGGCGCTGCACGGGCTCCATGATCCCGGGGCATGTAGGGTTGAGAGTTTTAGGGTTTAGGGTTTAGGGTTTAGGGTTTTGGCTTTGGGGTTGAAGTTTTCGGGTTTAGGGTTTAGGGCTTAGGGTTTAGGGCTTAAGGTTTAGGGTTTTGGCTTTGGGGTTTAAGTTTTGGGGCTTGGGGTTTAGGGTTTAGAGTTGAGATTACAACGGGACTTGTAGGGCTTGTTGGGCTGCTCGGTCTTTCAGGTTTTGTTGTAGTAGGGTTGATGCGGCCTTGACTTGCGAACCCATTGAAGTTCTAAGGGGCGCTTTTGGGGAGGTTCAGAAGGTTTATATAAGGGGGCTCTCAGCGGGTATGAGGGGTCTGGCCTAACAGGGTTTACCGGGCTTAAGGAGGGCAACATAGGGGTTTACAGGCATTGGTGGGATTGGGGTTTCTGAAGGTCTTAGGTTCTGTGCCCGAGAACTTGAGACTCAGAGCCAGCGGCGGTTCATGGAGAGATGGGTGCAAACCCCGGTAGAGTTGAGAAATAGCTTCAAGTTGGTCTCGGCTGCTGTTTCGAATGCTTTCTCTGGAAAGTGTAGGCCTCAAAGTAGCAGCAGCGGGCATGTTTTAAGAAACGCATCTCTCTTCCTTCCTTCTTTTTGTTATCTCTTTCTCTCTCCCTCTCTCTCTCTCTCTCTCGCTCTCTCTCGCTCTCGCTCTCTCTCTCTCTCTCTCTCTGTCTCTCTCTCTGTCTCCCTCTCTCTCTCTCTCTCTCTTTCTCTATACATATATAGCTTGAGCAACCGTGCCACTATACCCGATACTGGAAGCTGTTCATGCTAGCTCTTACGCTGTCTTGCACATATGATTAAGCTTACAGGGTTTGGGGATCCCGTTGGATGCTCCCACTTTCCTT